TTTTTTTTTTTTTTTTTTTTTTTTTTGGAAATTAAAAAGTTTAAGATTGGGAATGACTAAAGAAAATAAAAAATGGTTGCGCAGTCCATGATTTATCAAATTGTACTGTCTATCAGTACTAAAAGCCAAACTCAGTTTTTAAAACGAAGTTTTAAGTTGGTCATTTTATTTAAAAGAGTGCATTTGATTAAAACAATTATATTTCTTTTGGTCCACCCCACCCAAATGTTATGATCATCCGCATCGATTGCCAACTGATACAATTTAAAATGAAAACAAATTATGTCTAGCCAGTCTGCTAACGAAAAGCAATCAAGCCTATAAAGCAAGAGGCAAACAGAAATCATAATAACTATAATAAATTATTGTGAAGGAATTAATTTATGTAAGTAAATTTTTAGACGTAACGGCGTTTGGCTGGAAAAAAGTGTGTGGGGGGGGGGGGCGCGTAAAAGTGTGCATAGCAAACGAGGAAGTCTGTACAATCATTGAGTCACGCTAATCTTATGTTTGACCTAAGCCAATAAACCTGTCACCTGACTTCCTTCTCGATTGTGTTTACAATATGTACAACTGTGACAGTATCCAAGTTGTGCTGAAACAATCATTCGATAAATGGGGTACCGAGGCAGAGTTCAGTTTACTCGTTCGTAATTTCTTGATTTCTTATCAAAGACCCTCGCCCTCATTCCAACATATATGTGACTATACCCAGGAGCGTCTAAAATGCTTCCATTTTGAGTTGGGGGGAGGGCATTACAAATCAAAATCACCTTTGTATATGGCAGGAAGATCTAACTTTAAAAATTACCCCCCTCCCCCTTTTTTGGGGGGCCGCCAATAAAGTACGTCACGCTCCAGAGGGAAGGGGAGGGGGTGTAGTAAAGTGTGACAATTTGTGACAGGGGGAAGGGAGGTCAGGCCATGTGTGACTCACACATTTATTTTTTTAAATTTCAAATTCAATCCAGATTGAGTTACTGCTTCAATGAATAACTGTGAGAACTGTTGACAATTAACTATTCTACTATTAAAGTCATTTTAATAATGTGATAGTTCTTTTAAGTGGACATTTTATATTTTAATACAATTTAATAGTGAAGTGTGTTTTAGATAAAAAAATTTAATTAGGTGTTAATTTTTTTTTAAAAATTGTTCGAAAGTACGACGTACTTTAGCGCGGGTGGGGGGGTGGGTGGTGGAATATGTGGTGAAGTGGGGAGGGGTGGGGAGGGAGGGGGTTAAAAATGGTCAAAAATAGCGTGATGTACTTTATGGACGGCCCCTTTTTGCTAACTAAACCTAGCCAGCTTTTGAATTTCTCGAGTTGACAAAATATTTGAAAGGAAACATTACAAATACTCAATATTAATTTTCAATGTGATTGACCAAGGTCGGGTGAGGGGTGGTGCCTGCCACCACTTTACAAGGGCTAGACGCACCTGAATATACAAACACCTGAAGCTTTGTACTAGTGCAAGCTTCATTACCGAGATCCACGGAACATAATTTTGTAAGCAACATGGAGACATTGACACTTAGTAGGCGTGCACGTGTTCAGGACCGGTGGCTTGTACAAAAAACAACAGAGTCTTAACGTTCTGAAAATAGGTTTAACTTTGTTTAGCTCAGGTTAAGGACTGTATAAACTGTCATTACCAGTCTAATAGTACTCACGGGAACCCATTCGTTCACCTTAATGTGTGTGACAACAGAATGGTTATCCGTGAAGAAATTTAATTGGATGAATTAATTTGCTTTAAACTTGTATCTCATCATTTTTTTTTTTATCTCGGCCGCGAGATGCTGAAACTAATATTGGAAGTCAATCGCCTGTTACATGCTGATGTGTGTGTGCTGATGATGAATCACATACCTGTGTACAACATTCAAGGTGTGCATGTAACCACATACCTGTGTACAACATTCCAGGTGTGCATGTAACCACATGCCTGTGTACAACATTCAAGGTGTGCATGTAACCACATACCTGTGTACAACATTCAAGGTGTGCATGTAACCACATACCTGTGTACAACATTCAAGGTGTGCATGTAACCACATACCTGTGTACAACATTCAAGGTGTGCATGTGAAGCAAAGCATTAACCAGCTGGCTGGACAGAAATCGCGCCTCATTCTCAGGAAGACCTCTCCTGAAGAAAAGACAAAACTTGTATTCAGCTGGTGAATAGCTGCTGTATCTACACCCTTCTTCACCGTCCCATATATCGGGACGATGTTCTGTCTGATCTCTAGTGACTATGAAAGTTATTTCCCGTAAAGATTTTGATCACGGCTTAGAATATCGAACAAACTTCCACTCCCGGGACCCAAAGTCAAGAATTCAAAGGATGCCATCTAACGGCATTGAAATCCATGCATTATATTATGAGTTCGGTTAATAAAACGTGCTAAAAATGAAAATGAATGCTATGTTGGTGACGTCAAGGTTCAGCAAAGTCATTAAGCAAAAGAATCTCCGAGAAGTCAAAAAGTGAGGTCAAATCCTTAAACCCGAATCGGGAGACGTAACTCATTTCTTCATGCATTGCATCCCTATTTGCCATATCCGATATTTCATCGAGTTTAAATAATGCGTAGTTTTAAATAAGAATTTTATTTATATAAGTGCCTACTTTTCCATTAAGATTAATGAGAGTTGGTTTTCAAACTTTGAGTTACGAATACTGAGGGGTTGAGACACAGGGAAATGTTGAAATGTTGGAATGCTGGAAATTTGGAATGTTGGAATGTTGGAATGCTGGATTTGAAGCGGAGGTTTCAGCTTAAGATGCACGCCTACATCATTTAGTTGATACCGCCATCTTTTTTTTTTTTTTTTTTTTTTTTTTTTTTTTTTTTTTTTTTCATCTCGTTTTTTTTTTTTTTTCCAAAAAAAAATTTTTTTTATTGGAATGTTGGAATGCTGGATTTGAAGCGGAGGTTTCAGCTTAAGATGCACGCCTACATCATTTAGTTGATACCGCCATCTTTTTTTTTTTTTTTTTTTTTTTTTTTTTTTTTTTTTTTTTTTTGCACTTTGTTTTTTTTTTTTTTTGTGTTTTTTTTTTTTTTTTTTTTTTTTTTTTTTTTGTTCCTTTTCATTCACAGCCAGTAATTGTTATTCTAGCAAACAAAATATATTTTGTAAAAGATAACTTGATGATCTCCCTTAAATTGGATCAATGGAAAGGTCAGAGTTCCTGGTGCCATGAGATTAAGATGTGTACTAAATTTCAGCTCTGATTCCACGAATCACAGCCATAACTCGTTGAATATGATACACAAACCACATCAACCAGAATATTATGTAAACAAAAATGTATAACAAGAAGTGGCACACAAATTCCATTCTGTACCTTCTCCGCAGGTACTGAGACAGTAGTATCCCTGGTACAAGGTCTAATGTCATGTAAAACCGATGACGAGTCTGTAGGTGCTCGTGAAAGGTGACCACGTTCTCGTGCCTGACTTTTGTCAGGGCGAGCACTTCCTGTTGGAATTGTTGTTCTATCAGGGCGCCGTGACTACCAGCTAGTCGGTTCAATATTTTCAAAGCAAACTGCAAAAAAAAATATTAAAAAATTAAAAAATAAATCTTAATAATTTTTTATTATCAGTAAATTGTTCGTCCTTCGCATGCGAAAGTGTGATGTCCAAGATTGTATTCAATTTGCAGAGTAGCCTTGACGTGCGCTGTATTTGTTTGTTAAAGTGAGGAAGAGTTGTGCATTTGTCAGCCTCAACCTCTCGACCTGGTCTATTTGATCAAATTGCAAGATTTGGTCAAGACGACTGGGAGATAGGCTAAGATGTAAGGGATGACCAATGGCAAGACTTGGTCTAGACCAGGGGTCACCAAACTTTTGTCACGATGGCCCGGATAACGGGAAAAATGAAGGATTCTGTCCAATACTTGCAGGCCAGAATGAAAGCTCTGGGGAAAAGGACAAAAAAACTAAGTTAAGTACTCCATGCTAATCATAGCAGAGGGGTATGCAATGCAAAAAAAAAAAAAAAAAAAAAAAAAAAAAAAAAAAAAAATTTATTTAAAAAAAAAGTAAAAAAAAAAAAAAAAAAAAAAAAAGCAAAGACAATCAACATAATTATTTACTAAAAAAGTTAGCAAAGAAGGCGACGTTAGCAAAAAGATAGTTACATCCGACCTAATGCGCACACATTCAAATCTCACAAACTAAGCAGCAAAAAAAAATGTTAGTGAGAATTGTGAAACTGACGTTTGGCTTTAAAGATATCATCATTGTTTGGTTTGGAATTGCTGCATCCAATCAAAATAATTGTTTTGAAATGTTCACCAATCCCTCTCGTTCAATGTGATGACTTCACATACATTTTGTTGAAATGTTTGCTCACAGATATAAGTTGCTACATGCATACTGCAAACGGATGCCAACTCTTCAGTTATCTGAAAGTCCAAATTGACGCAATAAATAAACAAGAGAAGTTGTGAGAGATCAGTAGACTCATCAAGTGCCAGAAAATACCACAGCAAGTTCCCAGCTTTCTCACGTATCTGTAGCACCATGTTCTCTCTCAGTTCTTCTGTTCTCTACACAACTGAACTTGCCAAAGGGCTGTTAGTTTCAACCGCGGCACCTATTATTTGTAATTTGCCCCTATGTTTCCAACACTCCTCTTCCTTACACCCATCTCACTGTGCTTTTTGCGTTCCACATCACAAGATTTGTCGGAATATGCATTGAATTTCTTGAATTCAGATTTTGTCTTCTCTTAGATGAGTTGTCAATCAAGGTTAACGCAACCCATCCACCCTGGATTGTTGTTATTTTGCTGGGGATTGAACTCCAATCCAAAAAGTTTGGAATTGACAAATTTTGACCGAACATTATGTTAACAATGATATGTCAAATCTAGCATAAAAATTTCCTTTATTTTTTTGTTTGTTTGATAACTTGTTCAATGATTATATCACGTGTTTAATGATATAACCACTGAACAAGTTATATAAAAAGAATTATATTTTTTTACTCCCTTCTCGCTATGTAATGTATCGTGGAAGTGCTTTGTTATGACTCCGTGAATTGATAACTCCAGACGCTTTCAAAATTATTTAGCGTGTTTCGGTGGTCACTTGTATGTTTTCACTAAGCCTACATGATGGAGTCTGAAGTCTCTCTCCCAGTCTGTTTATTGGCATGATGATACAACCTAAAGTAAAACGCACAGTAAAAATACTCACATATTTCTTATCGGTTTGTCTGACCGCCTTGCGAACAATACAACTCCTCCCTCTGCCGATCACATCGCCCAGCAAGTAGTTCCCTACCCGCACCGGTCTGTCTAAGGGACTGTACTCCTCCGAAAGCACCTCGTCGAGAGTCGTCATGGTGTGCAGGTTGGTAACAGCAAGTCTGTTCCCGCGTGTTGGTCATTGCTCGGTCTTCATCGTTCAGTCTGATTTCACCGTTTAATACGTTTCATGGCTTGGATATGGCTGGGGCGGCTTGTGTTTCACGTCCTAACCTTCCTTAAATGGAGAGGCAAATCATAACAGACACAAAAACTGTTTCAAATGATGAAATGCATGCTTGTTTTAAATGTGTATCTTTAAACCCATCTTGTTTACCTACACCAGTGGTCGGCAAACTCATTAGTCAAAAGAGCCCCCCCCCCAAAAAAAAAAAAAAAAAACAAAAAAAAAAAAAAAAAAAAAAAAAAAAAAAAAAAAAAAAAAAAAAAAAAACAAAAAAATCTGTTTCAAATGATGAAATGTATGCTTGTTTTAAATGTGTATCTTTAAACCCATCTTGTTTACCTACACCAGTGGTCGGCAAACTCATTAGTCAAAAGAGCCCCCCCCCCAAAAAAAAAAAAAACAAAAACAAAAAAAAAACAAAAAAACAACAACAACAACAAAAAACAACAACAAACAAACAAAACAGCAGCAGGACTATTACAATTTTTTTTTGGAGAGCCGGATTTCTTTTCAAGAACCTGTCAAGAACCATGTTTTTTTTCGGAGTCAAAACCGATTTGTGGCCGACTGGACGAGCCGCACTCTGGTCGCTGAAGAGCCGCATGCGGCTCGTGAGCCGCGATTTGCCAACCACTGACCTACACAGTATTTGTCTAATAAATTCAGAGATAGTTAAGTTATCCAAGAGTAAAGACAGCAGAAAGAGAGTGGTTTATGCACACATTTGGTATTGTCCCGCTCCCACCCACCCCCTTTTATGAGTAAAAGAATGCCACCATACCCCTTGCTTCGAGCCATAGATGCTGATATAAGTAAACGGTGTTGCTCAGGGCCGTGGCAAGCAAACGCTTCACCCAGGGGGGGGGGGGGCAGAGTTTAAAAACATACTCTATCCAAAAGAAAATAATTTGATATACACGTTTGGCGAAAAAAAATACTATTTTTATGCCCTCTAAACAGGCCCAGCCCAAACAATTGCGGGGCCCTATGCCAAACGGATTGCGTGGNGTGTTGGTCAGGGCCGTGGCAAGGAAACGCTTCACCCAGGGGGGGGGGGGGCAGAGTTTAAAAACATACTCTATCCAAAAGAAAATAATTTGATATACACGTTTGGCGAAAAAAAATACTATTTTTATGCCCTCTAAACAGGGCCAGCCCAAACAATTGCGGGGCCCTATGCCAAACGGATTGCGTGGGGCCCAGTCTGGGTAGGGATAAGGATAATAAGTGAAAATTAAGATTTTGTATTAGAAAAAAATTCCGGGGCTCACTGCGGGTGCATAGGTTGCAGTGGCCTAAGGCCGGCCCTGCCTCTAAAGATGGTGCCCGGGGCGGGTGCCCCCTTCGAACGCCCCTACCCAATCACATACCTTACCAACAACCAGCTTTCAATTGAAAGACCGTTTTCAACTTTCGCTTCAACCTGATTGCGGATTTCTGTAACTCATTTTAATATTTCTCATTACAAAACAATAAATCTGCCCCACCCCCACCCTAACCGCGCCTGGCATTCCACACCACGACAAGCGCTGTTTACCACAGGTACCGTTAACACAGTCTCTTTTTGAGACCAAGTAAAAAAAAAAAAAAAAAAAAAGATCGAATATTTTATGATTGCGTGATCCGTGGTTTGTTCAGTCGTCGGCAATAATCCATACGCCGCGAGAAATTGTTTATTTTCATAATCTAAGGTCCCACTCCCCACACGGCCTGGGTTACTGAGCCTTGCGTGTGACTTACAGGGGTCGGACCTGTCCTCGCAGTTCCAATAATCTATTGTAGTCGTGTTTACCCATGATTGATCGGCCTCACGAATAGGGATTACGGGATACGGAGACATTTTTAACATTAAAAAAAAAAAAAAGATAAATTTTGTTTCTTTATTTTTCTTTATAAATAAAACTATTGGAGGTTTGTGTATGTGTGTGAGCCTATGTGATTTTTAAAGAATGTTTTTTTTTTCCTTCTTCGAATTATGAAGATAGAGCGAACAGCACATGTCCTTGCAGCCAAATCAGAGATGAGTGCTTCAAAGGAAGTTGGAGGTTAACAAACTACCTTAGGAGAGAAAAAATAATGAGATGTATTTTTAGAATAGATCATGAGCAAAATTTTAAGAATGCTCCATCTAAACATTATCGTCTTTATATTTAAAAAAATATCCTTAAAATAAACATTTCCCCTGCTTCATTTGCTTCCAATAATTTATGGAAAAGCTAAGTAAAGTATGGTAATGATTTCATCTCCTTCCCAGTATGAGGGTGCTCCTGGGAACAACGAAGCCACCAATTCGCTAACCAACAAAATTTACGGACAGTCCATAAGATTTTTTACAATTAATTGTCCGTAAGAACTCTTAGAATGTCCGTTAAAATTAAAAAAAAAAAAAAAAGACGTTGGACAATAATCTTATGGAGCAAAACAAAGCGAGATAAATTTACGGACAGTCCATAAGATTTTTTACAATTAATTGTCCGTAAAAAACCTTAGAATGTCCGTTAAAAATAAAAAAAAAAAAAAAAGACGTTGGACAATAATCTTATGGAGCAAAACAAAGCGAGATAATTCAACGTTTGTGATTTCTTCATGATTGCTTTCCTCACAATGACGATAAATTAAACACTATAGAGAGAATGCTATAATACAATAAAATACATTTATAGAATGGGCTCCAGACTCATGATATAATGACAGTTCCAAAGATAATAATAATAATAATTGTGGTACGGATCATTGACTATTTTTAAGCTAGATAAGTTTATTTAAAAACAAGAATATTTGTCCATAATTTACATAATTGAGTTAATTAAGCCATGTGCGTATAGGGGTAAACGGAATAAGCCATTTTCATATAGAGGGATGAAGGACATGAGCCATGTGCATGTAGGAGGGAAAACAATAAGCCATGGGCATATAAGGGCCGTCGGAAATGGGTTAGTGTGCATATAGGGGGTGAAAAGAATGAGTCATGTGCAAATAGGGGGTGAAAGGAATGAGTCATGTGCATATAGGGGGTGAAAGGACTCAGTCATGGAGGTGAAGGGACTCAGTCATGGAGGTGAAGGGACTCAGTCATGGAGGTGAAGGGACTCAGTCATGTTTTGTGTGATGAAACTAACGCGTTTTTCGCTGTCAGCCATTTCATCTAGGAACTTTAAATTAAGTACGCCTAATGTTTCAATGACATGAATATTTGATCAAAAAGGGGGGGGGGATAATTAATTTATTAATGTGGTGGTAAGAAATCGAGGTAGACGTATAACTGTCGTGTTTCTTTACTGCATTTACCAGAGCCTGTGGCTAGTATTCGCTACTGATCCCCCCCCCCCCACACACACACACATACGCACGATTGCTTCAAATAAAAAAGGGGGGGGGATAATTAATTTAGTAATGTGGTGGTAAGAAATCGAGGTAGACGTATAACTGTCGTGTTTCTTTACTGCCTTTCCCAGAGCCTGTGGCTAGTATTCGCTACTGATCCCCCCCCCCCCCACACACACACACATACGCACGATTGCTTCAAATATTTTTGATTGCTTGGATATTTCGTCCCCTGTTTCCTGTGTGGATGCATAGGACCTACTTGTAAAGTGGAACTGTAGTATCAAGCAAATCCCCGCTGTATATGTTTCTAAAATTAATGTAATTAATGACACAGTTTTATTACGTATATGTTATCAAGCCACCCAAATAATCCGTCTAGTTTAATTAAAAGCAGTTCTCATTTTAAAACAAATTTCATTAAGAGTTACACAGCCTAAAAGCACACTCAATGTTTTCAACTTACCCAAGCAAGGGAAACAATCTCACTGGCGTCCACTGCCGGATCAAACGGTCTACTCTCTTACCCCACCGTCATTCAGCGTCACCATAATTGAAAGTTTACAGGGGGAACGGCCGCATTGAATAGGCGCCACCTTTGTTGTGGAGTGGTGGCGCAATGAAGGCGCGCTAGAAATAATTACAACGGCTAAATCATTCACACTCTCAGGGTTGTTTCTTAGATCCGCTTCGATAGAATAGGGCCTATATCCAGAGGCATAGTAAAGGGGGAAGGGCAGGGGGGACAGATGTCCGCGGGCACCAGTTAATTAGGGGCGCCAAAATTTGTTTTTCTATTATTTTATTGATGAAAATAATGGGTTTGAGAGTTGAAAAAAGAAAAGGGGGCGCTTTAAAATTAATCTTGTCCCTGGGCGCGGATCTTGTCCCCGGGCGCCAAACACTCCCGCTACGCCTCTGCCTATATGTGTTATTTTTTCAGGACAGGAAATTTGCGAATTTTTTTTTCGGGGGGGTGGGGGCGTGTGTTTACGAGGACTTGTGAACACAATTAGGGCGTTGAATAGTAAATCAATACCAGTAACATGTGTTATAATTTAGGGTCCATAGTAATATAGGCACTGCGGACGTGCGATGGATTGACGCTACGATCAGCGACAGCTCAAACAAATTTGGGGGGGGGGGGAGGGGGGAGGGAGGAATCGGGGCTAGTAGACACAATATGGGTTGTTAGCTTATCCAAATAACAGAAGACACAATATGGGTTGTTAGCTTATCCAAATAACAGAAGACACAATATGGGTTGTTAGCTTATCCAAATAAAAGAAGACACAATATGGGTTGTTAGCTTATCCAAATAACAGAAGACACAATATGGATTGTTAGCTTACCAAATAACTAAGTGGCGTGCAAATAAGATTTAAAATTTATCACAAAAAAAAAATTATGAGTGACATAAAGCAAAAGAAAACCTGTAAAGTAGGACGCAGAAAAGCAATGTACGTGTCGGCAAGGTGCCTTCTATGGCGAATAAACAACAGTAAAATAAAAAAAAATATCTTAGCTGCAATTTTTCTCGGATACTACTTCTCAGCCAAGTGCATATTTTATGTTTTGTTCTTTTGTGTGTGTGTTTGTTCGCTGACGAAGGCTTCCTGACGACACGTTCATTGTTTTGTTGCGTTCTTTTTTTCAGGCTTAACCTTACTTTGTTTTTATTAATTTCCTGGATGCGATGTAGTATCTGGGAGTACAGCAAGAAGAATGTGGTCCTTTTATTAAGATCTTTAAAACTGCTGGTGCTTCGCCCCCCCCCCCCGCTAGGGCCCAACTAAAAACACTCTGGATGCAATACATCCTGATATCCAGGAAAATGGGGTGGTGGGAAAGAAGAAAAGAAATGGGGGAATCTTGGTTGTCCCCTTGAACTTGAAGACTCACTTATATGAAGTCAGTTGTTGTTTTTTTATATCACTAACCAGCTTAGAGGAAAAAGGTCTTTTTTTTAAATCGTAATATTATGGCGTCTATCATTATAACATGAACAGTTGTACGATTGTACCATGATAGCATGAGCAATATTTTCAGCATTATAACAGACCTTTGAGGGACGGTTGTAGCATGTGCAATATTTTCAGCATTATAACAGACATTTGAGGAACAGTTGTAACATGAGCAATATTTTCTGTATTATAACAGACATTTGAGGAACGGTTGTAGCATGAGCAATATTTTCTGTATTATAACAGACCTTTGAGGGACGGTTGTAGCATGTGCAATATTTTCAGCATTATAACAGACATTTGAGGAACAGTTGTAACATGAGCAATATTTTCTGTATTATAACAGACATTTGAGGAACGGTTGTAGCATGAGCAATATTTTCTGTATTATAACAGACCTTTGAGGGACGGTTGTAGCATGTGCAATATTTTCAGCATTATAACAGACATTTGAGGAACAGTTGTAACATGAGCAATATTTTCTGTATTATAACAGACATTTGAGGAACGGTTGTAGCATGAGCAATATTTTCAGTATTATAACAGACATTTGAGGAACAGTTGTAGCATGAGCAATATTTTCAGCATTATAACAGACATTTGAGGAACAGTTGTAACATGAGCAATATTTTCTGTATTATAACAGACATTTGAGGAACGGTTGTAGCATGAGCAATATTTTCAGTATTATAACAGACATTTGAGGAACAGTTGTAGCATGAGCAATATTTTCTGTATTATAACAGACATTTGAGGAACGGTTGTAGCATACATAAGCAAGATTTTTAGTATGGATGGGATATTTGTTTAATTTTATAAATTAGAATGCATATGGAATCTTTAAGAATATAAAATACATTAAAATCAGGCAGCGGGCTGGTAGATCTCCATGTTTTGCTGAGAATAGTTTAATTACATAAAAGCATGTCTAAGAGCTGTGTTTCACATATTATGTTTAAGTTTGGTAGACAAGTTTTCCATTGCACCAGGGACCGGTGCCAGATTTAATAATTATTTATCTTTGAGCATAATTGCCTTAAATATAACTCATTGGTATACCCGTAACCAGGCGATTCAATCTGATGAATACCATTTAATGCTAGGCGTTTCAAGTTTTTACTGTTGCTTAAAATAAAATTTAAAAAAACTATCGAGTAGAGAAGGTCCTGGAAAGGAACACCACCACCCCCCCCCCCCCCCCCCCCCCCCCCCCCCCCCCACCCCCAATGCTAGGCGTTTCAAGTTTTTACGGTTGCTTAAAAAAAAATTTAAAAAAACTATCGAGTAGAGAAGGTCCTGGAAAGGAACACCACCCCCCCCCCCACCCCCCCCCCATGTTTCTTCATGTAAGGGAATTTACTATGATCTGTATCAGGATTGGATGTTGTATACAAAATGTGGAAGAGCATAATCTCCCTTGCAAAATTAAAATATAACAATCAATTTACAGTCAGTGAATTTGGTTGATATGTGTTCACCCTATAGGGTGTAGTTGTGTCGCGTGAAAATAAGCCATACAAAACTGCCCTGTTTTTTTTTTTTTGTACATCAAAAAAAGCCTGAAAAGAAGGGCACACTAGGTTATCGGGTTCATTCGCTTTGTCCAATTGTATTTGTATGTAATTGCCATTTTTCCCTCACAAAAACATTACTTGTTTTTGCCAGTTTAGGTCTTGCTACCTCAAAAATCGCTTATTAAATTGGTTTTGTTTTTTCTTTTAATTTCAATTGAGGTTTCCTAAAATTTTAATCTGGCACTTAGCGTCCCTTTCCCAGTCCCCTCCAGCTGGCACATGGCGTCTGCTTCCCAGTCCCCTCTTGATGTGTAAACGCAGGGTGTTTATATTTTATGCTAAAGGCAATCTTGATTTTTGAAATTTTTTTTGAAAGGAGACCCAAATAGGCAACTTTCTCTCCTGACTTTGACAAATGTGCCGAATGGCAACATAGTGCTCCCAAACCACCGACTGGGGAACGCTGGCATAGAGTCAACTTTAGAGCAATATTCTGTCATCTACAAGAAATAACAATCAACATTGATATAGAAAAACTGTATTCTACAAAATTATTTTTTTCTCTTCTTTAAAATTGTGTTTCTGTGAGGGGGTCAAAATTATATTTTTATTCTCTTTAAAATTGTGTTTGTGTGAGGGTGGTCACAGTTTGAAAATGTGCATAATTTTTTTTATAGTATTGTCACATCTGCTTGGATTAATTCACATTAGACATTCATCATTCATGGTAGGAAATATATTTAAAAAAATAATTTTTTAACTTGTAAAGTATTTCCAAATCGGACATTATGATATAAAAGCGCTCAAATCTTGAGTGAACACTGTATAACTTCATCACTTTAAAACAATATAAATATTTATTATCTTAATCCTGTTTGTATAGTCTTCATATCTCTTAAATAAGATTTAATAAGATACATCTTTAAGAGATTAATATTTAACGTCCTCACCCAATGGTTCAGAAGGGGCAACTATCCAAAAACAATTGACCAAAATTATTTTTAGAGCATTGTTTGTACGGTACCAACAGTGGTGACCAGACTTACTTTTAGAGCCTGTCAATCATTACGTAGCAGCATTAATGGTGGTTGATATGTAGCTTTACAGTTGTGGGTCATCATGTACCAACATTGGTTGATAAGTTATTTTACTACATGTAATGATATACCAGTGCCAACAGTGGTTTATAAAAGTTATTTTAGTTTTAGGACATGTAATGCTATACCAGGACCAACAGTGGTTGATAAAAGTTATTTTAGGACATGTAATGATATACCAGTGCCAACAGTGTTTGATAAAAGTTATTTTAGTTTTAGGACATGTAATGTCATGATATACCAAAGCCAACAGTGGTTGATAAAAGTTATTTTAGTTTTAGGACATGTAATGTAATGATATACCAGTGCCAACAGTGGTTGATAAAAGTTATTTTAGTTTTAGGACATGTAATGTAATGATATACCAGTGCCAACAGTGGTTGATAAAATTTATTTTAGTTATATACCAGTGGTTGACCAGGTTAGATTTTACCTACAATACTGATACGTAGCAAGTCTACATAGAATCCTAACATGAGTGATGAATCAAAAATTTAAAAAAAGATTTAAACAAAGAACAATATATTTAAAAAAACAAAAAAAGAATACTTTAATAATAGTTGAATAAATTGTGAACACATGTTAACCATACCTTCCATTCGTACCCAGCCAACTCTCACACATCATCAGATGAGCTAGGAAACAAAACAAACCAAACAACAACAGTATCCATCCACCTCGCAACAAAATATGGCTCTACAGAAATTGGGAATATGCATATATCAAAGTTTGTACATTTCATTTCAAGTTCAAGAGTCTTTCATTATCTCCCGATACCCTTTCCATCTCTTCCTTTAACTGCTTCTCAATAATCTTGTGCCTGTCTATGAACCCTTGCTTGCCTTTCCCATAAGAATTGGGGCCTGACGCCGTTGGGGTATCTCTGAAATGATAGGATGGTAAAAAATATGTGATCGATTTCTGAAATGAAACATATTACATTACTGTAAATGGTGCTCTGTAAAAAATAATTCAAAGATGTCTAGCCAGAGATTTAGTTTCCGCAGGCTGGGTGATAAAAATATAGTGAACATATTAATAAAATAAAATGCATATCAACATAACTTTGGTGTTCTGATTTTGCATTTTTAACTTGGTCTATACCATTTTTGCACAACCATCAAATTTTTTTTTTTGATGAGATGACATTTTGAATACAACTGTAATTACTCTCTTCTCTTAAAATTTATACTAATATATTGAAAAATAGTTCATTTATAAGTCATGAAACTATATACGTATACTCACGGATTACAAATAGCAATTTGTACAGACAAATAGGTACCAAGGACTAATCTGTAGTTAAATAATCTTAAAATCTGATATTTTAATAAACAATATAATCTCGTATCAAAAACTGCTAAGCTAGAACTAAATAATTTGCAATTGTATAAACAAAATAAAGTACCGGTACTTACCTTCCTATATTCTTCATTCTCATCTTTGCTTCAGGAGGCATTTCTTCATCTCCACTCTGAAAAAATAAAAAGTGAAACAAATAATACATTGAGCATTATTTGTTTTGTTCTCAGAATCTTAATCAATAAATTTTTAATGTTAAAAATACATGAAATCAGAAATGGCCAAGGGGCGTGGTTACTATTTATCTAGAGGCATTTACTATCCTTTTATTAGAAAAATCAAGTCACAAAGAAGCGAACAAACACATATTATTAGTAAACAGCAATAACAAAAAAAACAGGGGAAACTGTCAAACATACTTAAACAAATCAAAACCTAACTATATATCATTTTAACATTTTGTTTTCATACTAACCTCGTCTGATTCATCAAACACTTTTGCTGCCAGAGCACTCTTCTGGACTATTGGAGGTGTGTCCTTTTCTTTCTTTAAGTATAAATCAATCAATTGAGAAAAGTTAACAAGAATCAATACTTTATGTAGTGTACGATTGATTTCTGGCAGAGTTCAATAAAATTTAGAATGCAGAATTTCTACGTTCAAATATTTCAAAAAAAAAAAACTTTCATACTTTAAAACTTTATTTAGCAAATAAAGATATCAAATTTGCTAATAAAATTGTAATGAAATTAATATTTGAAAACATAACATTAACCCACTCCTGCTTATTGCGCTGTACTCCTGATTTCCCAGCACATGTACATGCTTTTGTTTTATTATACTTGTTCAGGGCATCTAGCAACCTAACAAACTACCGCACAAATGACTACCAAAGCTTACTGCTATCCTTGTGACATTGTTGCTTTTTCTTGATGAGGAAATCTTAATGTTTTTATCTTTTTCGTGTTACTAACTCTCGAGGGTTAGAAGAATTGCATGGCTTCCCAAACTCTTGAGAAGTTTATTATTAACCTTGGACTATAAAAATATCTCAAACAGACCAATATAGAATATATTGAAAGTGATGCATTCATCCTGCCATGGGTGAAGGTGACTCTGAATCTGACTATAATACAAGTACCAGTACAATGATATTGATGCCGATGCTAAACATGATCATGGAAGTGAACTTGTGAAAATACTTAAGTTCAATTTCAAATATAATTTTATTCTATATAAAACGTTCTTATAACAGTTTTTAACTCTTCATTCATTTTTATATTTAAATAAAGATAAAACAATAACTTTTTCATTTTTTTAGGTTATGTCCCTCCGGTTAATAGATGGGAGGGTTTACATGAAAAGCTGATTATCAAGGACTGGGTTAACATCATGTAATAAAACAATACACATAATACCTGTGCAGGATTTAGAGACATTTTAATAGGAGCAACCAAGGTCTTTGTAGGTTTTGGAGTAGACTTGGTCAAACTAGGTGATCCCAAATTAAAGCTGATTTTCTGATTGAGTGTTGCCTTTGGTTTTGATCCTAAAGACATACTAATTTTCTTTGGTGGTGCCGATTCATCTGTTGACTCTGTAGAACGGCGCTTTCCAGTTGAAGGACTCTTGACATCCCCATCTGGGCCTGACACTGAGTCTGCTCCTGGGTAATGTGAAATACTGGGGGATTTGAGACTACAAGTCGTACCGAAAGAAGAAACAAAAGAATAGCAGAGTGAACATAATGTTGGATCAAGAATCCCTTTTCCACTTCAGTGTTTAGAACTCCTTGATCAATAGGTCTCACCAGGAAAATGAAATTCATTGAAGAGTATGGCTAATGACAACTTGATGCCATTTAAAAGCAATTTACAACAGAGAGGCAACTTTGAAAACTAAAGAGTCTAAACTAAAAAATCCATGTCTCAATTGTTAAACTTGAAAAAATGTCTAAGCAGTATAGTGAGTATTAGAACAGATTGATTTATAACATAACCAGGGTATGAAGTTTACTATGCAGATTTTTCAATTGTGTTTCATATTGGTTAATGAAACTAGGATAATAATGCACACTCAAAATATATATCAATTGACTATATATATATATATATATAAAAGATACAAATTTTATCAAAATGAGGTAACCTCTTTTTAAAAATGGTAAATATAAAAATGGCATGTTTCATGGAGTAACTTGTTGGGTTAAAAAAAGAACAAAAAACAGTTGGCGCAATTAATTTAAAAAAAATGTATTAGTAAACTAGGTTACCAATCCTTTTGAGTGTGATATTTAAATGATCTTTAAGTTTATTACTTTATATTATTGTTAATATTATTTTTCAAGCAAGGCTGAGATGGGGTAAATGTTTCGCCTAAGCACTTCAGTAAAGCAAGGGAGATTACTTCAAATGGGTATGGTTAATTAAATGGACATCGGGACAGAGGAATCCAATTTTAAATTTTTGGACATCCGTGATTTTCATTAAAGAAATGACTATTTTTTCATAAAATTGTGGTATCTTTCCACAGGTCTACAATATGGACATATTCAATTGAACTGTTTTGCCTTTTCAATTGACCATAATTATGGAAATTCCTTGGTATATATAAGGATCTTTCCCTCAAAAATTTTTGAACCAATTAAATGACACTGTCTTTCATTCACATTAAATATTAAAAAGCATCATATTATTGATGTAAATGTGTGCCGAATCTCATTAATGTATGTCACGTCTGACTTCTGTTATGCTTGTCCCGGTAACCTGCATTATGATAAGAACACAGTCCAAAGTCAATTTGACCTTTTAAATGGGGAAGATGCCACTATTTATTACTAATTTTTACATCAAAACATTTGATTACTAGTTTTTTAGAATGAACTTAGCAGGCATTTAAACAATAAGATTCTAATTATAGGTTTAAAACCCAGGTAGAGTCCATATGATAAATTATCATACTTTGTGGCATGAAAACTTTGTCGAGGGCAACCATTCACAGTCACTTCCATGTGGCTATACTACTTAAGTTTTATTAAGAGATTTCCATGAGCAAAAACTATTAAACCATTGGTCACTGAAAGCTTTAATTAATTAGTAATGTGCAGAAGTTGAAAGTAAGTAGTCCCTAACCAATATATGTTTTAGGGGGACGCATTGCCTTACTATAAAAATAAATATATAATGAACATCTTAAACTCATGAAAATAAAAGCTGAATAAAATTATCTTTAAAACAAGAGTTATAGCGCATGACACAATCAGCGGAATTAGGTTACAAAGTGTGGAGGTGCAGTCCAACACGTTCATAAAAAATTACAAATGAAATTGGACTTTGAAAAATTCATAGCTGAGAAAGAACTAAACTAAAACTAAAACTAGAAAGTTTATTCCAGTATCATTTTTTTTACATTGGTCATGTCAACCAAGATGGCGGCCATGGGGAAAAACATGGCATCCATTCTTTGCACTTACCAAATTTGATTTATAGAACTGTAATATTTTTATATTTTTAAAAATCTTTATTATTTTAAAAAAAATTAGGTCGGTAGCTACTTCATGTAAGCATCTCAATCTCATGTTGTTTTTGTAGTGTAGTTAGTAGATGGATTGACTGGCTAATGTGAAGAGATAGCACCCTGACCCTGACATCATTTGGGTGTTTTGTCCCTGGTTCCAATAGCGTCAAAACACTGGTTCCGATAGGGTCAAAACCCAGGTTAGGGATAAGTTTAGGGTTCAGGTTAGGTTTAGGGATAGATTAAGGGTTTAGGTTAGGTGTAAGGATAAATTTAGGACATAAGTTCGCCATGGTAAAAAAACGCGGAGCTATCTCTTCACATTTACCGATTGAATTTCCCCAAATTTATTTTTATTTTCTAGTCTAGATTCGTGACAAGAATGTTTCTAACGTCAACAAGGTCTGGTAGGCTTAATCCAAGACATATAAGAGGAGGGAGTGTAAGGGAGCAAATCGACTAGGCCTAGGTCTAGGTCCTAGAGTCAGGCGATTGTCGCCATTTACTTGACTTCAGTAACAGAAGTCAGAGAAACTGACGGCAATTACACTTTGATTATTTAAGAATAATTTTGAAAATGGACCCGGTGTCTGTGTTAAACAATAAATAACGAAAACTACCAAAATATTTTCAAATTATGTATCAGATTATGCTGATTGATTTCAGAAATTAAATGAGCAAACCTTTCGTTGTTTCCGCCATCTTGGCTTGATATATGTTGGTCGTTGTTAAAATAAATGTATATTTTCGATATAAAATTTTTTCATAAAATACAAATACATTTACGTTTAATTTGATTAAAAACTGAAGAATAAAAGGAAAAAATGTGATTTAAACATTAACTACAATAAAAGATAAGAAATTATACGATTTTAATTTACAACAATGCCCGGTCCATTTTTATAAGCAAAAAATGATTTTCTTCACGGAAGATGAGTATCCTTTTTCATAGTCATCATTCATCATAGTCATAGTGTTATTGACAAAACAATTGTCAGTAAACCCTAAGGTGCTCATTATGAAGAAGATGCAATACAAACGTTTATAATTTACTTGAGTGAGTATATTTTTATAACGAAAGTTATGGTTACCAAAGTTGTACAAAGCTAGGCCAAGTACTAGTATTGTTTCAAGTTTGTTTTGTAGTAATTAAAGTTTAAGTTAAGGCTAAGACTAAGACTAAGTCGTTAAGTTAAGTGAAGTTAAGTGTATAATACTAGTAATAGTAATTGTCAATAAATAATTTCATGGACAATAATCAATAAAATATAATTCATGATCATAAACTTTAACTTTGAGTGTGAGTGCTGTGACTGAGACTATGTGACTGTGGTCTGTAGTAATGATATCAATGATTATCAAAGGCAAAGGTCAACAATCATTCATAATCTCTGCAGCCCTAACCCACTGTTGAGGTTCTCCTTGGCTGGGGAAGGGAAAAATGAAAGTGAGAGGATCCTCCTTGGGAGGATAGGGGGAAGCGTTAACTTCATGCTTCAATTTATGGGTTTTCTCTACTATGGTTTGGGAAAACGAGTTAAAGTCTAAAGTCTAAAGTGAAATATTCCTTAAACCAATTAAAATTGAAAAAAAAAATCACTCTAACCCATAGCCTATACTATAGTGACTATACACTTATTCTTATACTTGTTACTTATACTTATACACCATTAGATTCATTAAAAGTTAATGAATTTAAATTTAAACAAAAAAAATATTATTATGGTTTTATTTCAATTGTGTCAAATTCTGATCGTCAAACTGATAAAATCCTTGAAGTTGTAGTGTAATCAAAGTATTAGAATAATTAAAGCTTCAGTTAATTTTAAAATGTAGTAGTAGTAATGATTCATACTGTACTATAACTGTTATGCTATACCTATAAGAAGGATTTATGGAGTGCTGAAGTGTTATGTTTGGTAATGAACCTTTATTTTAAATGCTTGTATCTGAAAATGTAAAAGACTTAAATTATATATATATTTCCCTTCTTTTACATCCTTTTCTTTAATTTCCTTTAAAATAATAACATTCAAATGTGACCACATTATTAAAAAAAATTATGCTTATTAGATTCCAAATGAGTGCTGAAAAAAGAAGAAAATCAAGAGTGCAAGGTGGGTGGGCATCGCCAAGTCCTAAGGATGTTCCAAACAAACAAAAACCAACTGAAAAGAAATCATCAAATCACACCCCACAGCTCCTTGTTTCCCATCATGATGAAAATAGCCCAAGTTTACATAGAGGCAAGACACCATTACCGGTTGGGCCTGCATGGTTGGGAAAAAATATCGACCAGTTAGCTGCTAAGACAAAATTTACATTTGAGGAACCAGAAGAGGTATAGTTTTAAAATTTTTGAAATGCCCCTAATGAGTTTCATAGTAAATGAACTATTAATAATTAGGATTGCAGCGATAAGCCAATTGACAGATTATCAATTAATTGGTCTTGTTACTTTGGCTGATGCTGATAAATCAAATCCCGATAATTATTATATACTTATAATGTATTTTGCTTTGAAAATAAATGTTTTAATTCTAGATTTATTTTAGTATACCACTTCATTATTAGTCATAATTTGGGTTATAGTGTGTATGAGTAAATAATCGAACTTGCACCCTAAACCAGGAGATTTCAGCCCATGATTACCATCATGAAATTTGGATTCTTATTATATGCATGAACAGTTAAATTGAATCCACCAGCAACCTGGGTGCCATTGAAAAGCATCTATCAATTGCAGATGTCTTCTTGCTTAGAAATAATTTTATTGCTTCTGAAATGGGCGACAACTTTTCTAAAATAGTCATACTGGAAGCTAAAGCTGCTGCTCTAATCCTTCTATGCTGCTGGTACATGTAGCTTTAATATCCAAGTTGCGAACATGAGCATGATTTTTAGTGTCCACCATGTCATTGTGAAAACACTGACGACATCATAAGATGAAAAAAAAAATTGGTTGTGGAAAAAATGCATGATACCACATTAAGTCTTGCCCATATCTAATTGGTACACATTTAATAAAATTATTTAAAATCATAAAAAAGGTACCAATAACAATATCTATATTTACATCTAACATCACAAAATTATTTTCTGTGGCAGAATATTGGTAAAAAAGGTGCTGATGAATTGCTAAAATGGCAGATTACAGATTATTTTCCAGTTAATCTGTGCAACCCTTCTATAATAAAAAAAAGTATTATTAGCAAGTAACTAATATATACTATATGTGTCTATTAGATAATTCATTTAAGAGATATTGCGTTTAGTAAAATAATCAAAACTTGTTAATTTCTTTTCAGGAAATTAAACTGAAACCAGCTGATCTGGTTATCGTGTAAGTTGGACACAGCATATCATTGTATTCTTATTTAAGAAGAGAGAAATTGAATATTTTAAATTAATAATGCCACTTCCCTTTATATTTCATTTATGCTTCCTTTATCCATTGCTAAAAAAAAGGTCAATTATTTTTTGTTTTATTGTTTTTAATTCTGATTTTAACTTTTACAAGAGAATAACTAATCTGTTTTACATGTATAGGAAGCCTGGTGTTTATGACATAAGTACAGAACCATCTGGATTATCAAGGCATGTGTTGTCATTTATTTCTAAAGTCTGGTCAAGTTGGGGAGGCTCATATTTATAATTATGGAAATAAAATACCTTGTAATACATTAAATCTGTAGTAATTAAATACACATATTTAATTGCTGCTTTAAAAATATGTATGTGGTCTATAATAATCAATAGTTTCAATTCCCAAGGTTGCGATACTTTCCTCAATTTGTTGAATTGTCTCAAAGTGAATCTATTTTCGCTGCACTTTATGATGAGATCCCTTGGAAGCAAAGATATGATATTCACAATGGTGTAAAAGCCATACAACCTCGGTTGACCCAGTGGTATAGCGAGTTGCCTTATACTTACTCAGGGCTTACAGTAGAGGCAAATACTTCTGTAAGTTCCAATGCCAATAACTGTCTAATAAAAATCAATTTTTAACAAAATTATAGTTTTAAAATATTAAGTTGTTTGCATGATGAATTCAATTATGAAGATTCTTGTCGCAATCAGCTGGGTACAGATTCCAAACAATGAAATTCTTTTCCTTTCCTGGATTAAATTTTTAAAACTATCTTAGAGTGATGTCTGTTTCAATTTGGTAACAAACATAAATTTACTTCTTTATCCAAAATTATTCATAATTTATGTTTTTTTTTTAAATTTGATAAAAATTTATTCATTATCTAATTCTGGGATTGGAAATGGAAATCCTTTTTTAAATTGACACCTGCTGACAGGACTTCAACAATTTTTGCACAGATTATAAATCTTTGCAGACATCATTATTCTGTTCAGTTTTATGTATAAGATATTTTTGTAAAAGCCTGCATGACCTCTTATGCTGTGTTTTGGTGCAAATATTTTTTTTTCACTCCACTGTTCTGGTCTAAATAACAGCCTGTTACCATTCAAACTTAATAATAATATTGATGAAATTCATAATAGGAGTGGCCAAAACCACTAAAAGAACTAAAGCAACAATTGGCTGAGGTAACAGGAATAGAGTTCAACTCCCTTGCAGCCAACTTGTATCGAGATGGACACGACAGTATTGGATGGCATTCTGATGATGAACCCATAATGGGTAAGACTCCAACCATTGCTTCATTGTCATTTGGTGATGAACGTGTGTTTGAGTTACGCAAGAAACCATATCCAGTAAGTCTGCATAAATCATGATCTATTTATTTGTTTGTAAAAGATTTATTATGATCAGAAGCAGTTTTCTCTCTCTCATTATCTGTTTACCTATTAGATTTGATTGTTACCTTTAAGGTTTTCTTCTTAGTTATGAATTAATATGAGCAAATTTCAACTGAAAGTTTTTCTAAAGCTTCTTTTTTTGTTGACAATTTTTTTCCCCATACAGTGTATTTAAGCCATAAATTTTGTTTTTTAAGTTAGGGATTTTAAGATACACATCATACCATCAAGTTTTTAATTTTCTGTATTTATCACATTTTATAATAAACATTCAATAGTATTACTTTGAAAAATGCTTTGGTTGGTCTCAATTCATTCCAATATGGCCTTTTCTTTGAATAAATCATACAAAATAAAACTATTTTTACTCATTACCAGGAAAAGAGGCCATATTGTAACAAATGAAGACCAACCAAAGCATTTTTAGTTGTAGAGATTTCTTTTATTATTATTGGAAATGGTGTTTGGGATTGACAATTGCCTTATATTTATTACCATTAGCAGACACAGGCTTTTGATTATCTTCAGATAAAATAATTGAGAGAATGGTAAATGTTTTTAATTATTGATTAAACCTGGCTCTCTTTTATCAGCTTCAATCAGGAGAACAAGATTATACCTATAGCCAAGTCATCAGGTTGACTCTAGGAAGTGGCTCATTGCTTATAATGGAAGGTTGGACACAAACAGATTGGCAAGTAAGTAGCAAATCAGACCACTATAATATTTGTTGACATTATGAAGTGGCTCATTGCTTATCATAGAAGGTTAAACTCAAACAGATTGGCAAGTAGCAAATCAGGCTACCATAATATTTGTATCACTAAATCATCATCATCATCATGGACCATTGGGGCGCCACAGATGACATGTGAACTATCCTCCTCCATTCGTCTCTGTCTTCTGCACTATGCACAGCATCGCCCAGTGTTAGTCCTGTCCAATCTTTGATGTTATCCTCCGATCTTTTTCTTTGTCTTCCTCTTCTTCTCCCTCCTCTTGTGGTGCCCTGCAATATTTATTTGGCAAGCCCTTGTTACGTGGCTGTACCATTGTAGTTTGCGTTTTTTCACAGTCACCAGTCGGTCATTGTACTCCCCAATTGCCTGGCAAACCCTTTCTTTCACTGTATCATTGGAGATATGGTCCCTATAGCAGATGGCAAAAATGCTTCTGAAGCATCTCATCTCCATCACCTTTATTTTCCTTTCAAGATCGTCTGTTAATGTCCAGGATTCACAGGCATACGGGAAAATGGAGAGGACTAATGAAACGCATCAGCCTGATTTGGGTGCTGGGGGCTATATTTTTGTCATTCCATATTTTCTTGAGCCTCTTTAGTGCTGTTGTAGTCTGCGCAATCCTAGACATCCCATCGAGCTTGGAGCCTTCTTCTGAGACTATTGCTCCTAGGTATTTGAAGCGGTCTACAGTCTCTAGTCTTTCCTCCCCGACCTTAATTTCAGTGGTGATGCCTGTGGTGTTATTTGTCATCAGTTTTGTCTTTTCGGCACTGATTAGCATGCCGTAGGACGACGAGGTCTTATCGAGACGCTTTACCAGGTTGGCTAGCTCTTCTTCGTTCCCAGCCGGTCCTTTTATGTCATCCACAAAGCGTAGGTTGGTGATTGTTCTCCCATCAATGCTGACTGTCCCTTCATGCCCTTCTAGAGCATCTGACATAATTCTCTCTAGGAAGATGTTGAACAGGGTGGGGGAGAGCAGGCAGCCTTGTCGTACTCAACCATGGTCGTGAACCATTCTCCGATGTTGTTGAGGAAGACTGCACTGGTGGCCTAATCATAGAGGTTGCATATCATTCTGGTTAGGTTTGTGTTGATGTTGTAGTGCCTCATGGTGGCTCATAAAGCAGCATGCCAAACCCTGTCGAATGCTTTCTTGAAGTCCACAAAGTCGTGGTATAGGTTTTGTTGATGTTGAGCATATTTCTCACATAGTATTCGGAGGTTTAGAATCTGCTCAGTAGTGCCCCGTCCTTGTCTGAAGCCAGCCTGTTCTTCAGCAATGATTCTGTCAGGCATATGGTTTTAGTCGGTTCAATATGACCTTCAGCATGACCTTGCTTGGATGGCTTATTAGACTAATAGTGCGATAGTTTTGGCATAGCTGTAGGTTACCTTTTTGGGGAGGGTGACGATGAGCGATTGTGTCCATGGTTTGGGCCATTCTCCTGTAAGCCATATTGAATAGGACACTTATCATTGCTTCTCCTCCTTGTTTCACCAACTCGGCAGGGATATTATCCACCTCTGCAGCTTTTCCTGCTTGGAGTGCTTGGGCTGCTGCTTCTACTTCTGCGCGGAGAATAGGGTAGTTATCATTGTCTGTTGCTGGAGGGACATTAAGGATCTCTGGGTCTATCTTTATACTTTCATTATACAGCTCTGCACAGTATTCAGTCCATCGTTTTATGATATCATTTTCCTCGGTCAAACATTTACCATTTTTATCCTGTATGGTAGTACTACGCCCTTGTTTTGCAGTGGTTAGTTCTTTCACCAAGTGGTAAGCTTTTTTGCTAATGTTTTTCTTCAAGCAGTTTCAATGTCGTAGCATTGCTCTTCAATCCAGTTCTTCTTTGCCCTTTTCATACCTTTTTTGATGGCTTGATTAATTATAGCCAAGTTTATATATATCAAGTATACATATAATCAAGTCATGAATTATTATAACTAGATTGACAAGTAAGTATCACTTAAAACATGAAATAATTATATTTTAAAACTCAAAGCACATCAAGTTACGATTGACTGCAAAACACTGCCATAGATATGTCCAACAGTTTAATCCCATTAAAAAGAAATGCACAGCCCTTCTATTTGGTTGGGAAGCATCTAATCTTTTCCCAACTTTTTATGGTTTAATATATTAATATATATGTTTTTTAAAACTTGTATTTACTTAATAATAAGAAATGGGTTCCATAGGTATATAGGGAAGACTTGAGGTTATAACAAAATTGCTATCTATACAATTTGATAAACAAATTTCTTTTTATTGCATGTTCTAAGTAAAGCCCACTGATAAAAATAACTAATATTTGGTTCTTTTTTTAAAGCATCGAGTACCTAAAGAATACCATGACAGGGGACCAAGAATAAACGTAACATTCAGGGTAGCTAGGCCAACATTGGATTGATAATATTTAATTATTTTTATTTAATATTTGCCTGATGTTTAACTATGATTTGCCAGTAGATAAATATTACTTTTAAAACAAATGAAATCTCAACTCAAGAGAATTGAATTTAATGTTTTGGTGAAACACACCACTTTGTTTATACATTCTGGTTTGCGTGGTTTTTTTAAATGATTAATTTATAATGATGACTCAGCTTCACATTTGTCCAACTTGGACTCTGCCAATAAATTGTAATATTATGTTTAAAAAAATTGTATTATTTATTGTTTACTTTTTTAATATTTATGAGTTCTTTTTAAAGTAACAGGTTGTAAATATTACTTGACTTAAAAAAAAAATTAAGTTTAAGTATCTAGAAAATTAATTACTCTTAACTCTTATAATTGATGGGATATAATTAAAATCTTTCCAAATTTGAATTCTTTATTTTAATAAAAATAAATTAAATGATTGTTTATTAAGCAATAATTATTACATAATGCACATATTTTCACAGGCAATAGAGTACATATCTTACTTTAACTTTATCTCTGTCATCATTTTCATTGGCGGGTGGGTGGGGGGATTTGAATCTCAGTTTCTATTTTGAGAAAAAGGAAATGCTATAATGTGAATTGCTTTTGCTTTTAGGTGATTTATACTTAAAAATATCTTTGGAAGAGAATAAAAAAAGTTTTTACAGTTGTTGAAGGACATCCCAATGTAATTGAATAACAGTTTTCATATTAATATGCAGTGTGATTCAATTAAAAAATACAAAATACTTTGAGTTGCCTTAAAATTTATTTTAACACTCATATTGTGAATCAAAGTTTAATTGTGAATTTATTTTAATTGAGTGTTAGTGTTATATTCAAATCAGCTCTAGATCCAGAGGGAAGACACAGGAAAGATACAAAAAATTAGTGCCTAAAAACCCATCATGTGTTGTCCATAACAAAACAACAAAAGACACATGCTCATTTGAGGCAGAGATCCCCACTGCTCAAACCCCCCACCCAAATCCTGCTTTAGTTGTTATAAAAACACAAAAACACAGTTAATATTTATTTAATTATGTATATTGACTATATATTTATTTACATCTTTTATATTAAAATGAATCATGAATTAACACAGTAAATATTTGTATAAGTTAAACAGGTAAAAGTTGGATGACTTTCAATTACAGAATTTTTTAAGACTTCAATATTTAAACATATTTAGATAGTGTAGCCTATCAATAAATAAATTATTATATTCTTAAAATCAAGAATGAAATTTTAAATCTCAAATCATATTTGCTTACAGTACAGTCAACTCCACTTAAGTCAACTAATTCCTTGACAAACATTTTTTGAGTTAAAATAAGACCCTAGTATTTCATGCAGGAGAACCTGCTTCAGTTCAATTAATTCATAGATAATTAATATCCTAACAAAACATTTGTCTCAAAGCTTTGCCCAAAGTAAGTGTAATTAACACATTATTGTTCTAAAACTATAAATTATAAAATAAACTTCAACCATATTTGTACAATCTATTTGACAATAAAGCTTTATACATGAATAGTTTTTCTTTCATTGAGATATGAAACATTAAAAAATGTCTATACAAATAATACTAATTAAAACAGCCTTCACAATTACAAGCAGCTCCAATTCTTAAAGGTCTTTCTGATTTACATGTGCATTTTAAAATTCCTGTCTTTTTATTGTTTCTTTGTTTTGTAATCATTCCAGCACACGAGCCTCTTTAAGAATTTTCTTTAGCTCACCAGATTTCTGTAGTAGGGTAATCTCTTTTTCTCCTCCTATATAGTGCCCTTCAACAAACAACCGAGGAACCTTAAAGAAAAACAATTCGAATGGTAAAATTAGATACAGGCACAAGGAATATTTACTAAACATGAAAGATTAAGTGTTTGAAACAGCATTAAAAAAAAATCGCACAAGAAGTAAAACAAATTAAAAATTATACTTAAGTCATGATGGGCTCGAAAGAATAATTTGGCAATCCCTGGGCAAAATGTATCTTATTCTAATGCAAAAATGTTGCGAAACTTCAATTTCTGAGTTCTGTTGGATTTTTATGAACCACTATCACACAACAAATATTTGCTAGTTAAACTTTATCTATATAATTAAGTGGTTTCAAATTTAAAATTATTACTCCTAACTCCAACTAATCATACTCAACCATAAAAAAGGTGGAAGTATTTCATTTGGTAGTAAGTAAATTTTATATAAATACATATTCAGAATTTTAAAAAGTTTAATTTCTATATTTTGTGATTGTGTTTTTTTCTTCTTAAATCTCAATCATGGGTTAAAAAACAACAAAATTCAACTTAAAATGTTAATTTTTGCTATCTCCTTTTTATTTTTGGATACACATCAGTCCACACTACTCTCTCCGCCTTCACTAAACCCTAAACTGTAGCACCTCACTATCTACTAACCTCTTTGAACTTACCCTCTTTTACCTCTCTTACCAATAACCTCCCCTGGTCCTATCATCCCAACCCATTCTGAACCTTACCACTCATAAATTCTTACAGGATAGGGTTTCCGGCAATCCTCCAAAGTCCGGTCCCAAATTATTTTGTATGAAAAAAATTGCAATACACAGTGTGTATTGTTAGCAAACAGCAGAAATGTCAGTCATAGCTTTTGTAAACAGCTTTTGCTTTAGTCGCTTTAAAAACCAGTCGGTAAATACTACATATTGTAATTGACGCATAGCATTTGCAAATAGCAGCATAAAATGTTCTGCTTGTGACTGTTGCACCATTGAAAAGCCCCCAAGTAGCTGGCAAACAGACCGTGACTAGTATCACTCTGAAAGCGGAGTTTACGTTTTGCTAGCATCCAAAGTCCTTCAATAGTTTTTGTGTGAATGTCCTGGTCTACTGAATCAACAAATTCATGTGCATGCACAGTGACAGCATGATCTAAAATCCTGTTGTTGAGCTGAACAACATTTTGATATCCTCGCCAAGCGTCCGTGACGATAGCTGTCCCTGGTAACATATGATTAGTGATAATACGCTCGATTTTAACATAAGTTGCATTAGTTGCAATAATTTAACAAATTTATTGAAATATATATATACGCAAACATGAATTTCAAAACAAAATGATGCCTAATTCTTTTAAGTAAGGAGTAAATCATTGGAAATAATTTGGGACCGGACTTCGGAGGATTGCTGGGTTTCCTAACCTCTCCAGTACAAACATTCATTAACCTCTTTCACCTCACCTCTCTAGCCTTTTTCTTAATCTTCCATAACTTTCTTTCCTCTAATCTATCCTCTACCTAATATCTCTCTGTGCTCACCAAAAGATCCTTGTCACCACTCCTAAATCCCTCCCACCTCTAAATTTTCCTCATTAATCACAAATCTCTACTCTACAATCTCAACAATAGTAACAGCCTGTGTAGTGTAGCCACCCAAAGATGCCATCTCCACACCTTTGATATTTAGGCATAGTAAAAAAGGGACATATGTTTCTACTTATTGAAATAAAATAGTACAACAAATGTGCTCTGTTTAGCCCTTAAAAACAGGCCTAATTTTGGTGTTCATGGCCCATAATATTTATTGACTATAACTATAGACACTATACTATAACTATAGTAATATAAATGAAGAAATGCAATAAATAATGTCTGCTTACTGTTCTGGAATCTGTTAGGCATAAAACTTGAAAATAATTTTCAATCTGCACACAGTCTTGCCGTTTCTCAATTTCTACGACTTCATAATCTTTATCTGATAACTTGTATTGGCCAAGAATCATTTTCACCATTTTACATTCTGGTGAATATGATTTTGAAAATAAAATTACTTTCCTCTGTTTCAGTTTTAGGTCTATGAAAGGAATTGCATCTGCCATAACTATGTTCAATTATATAAACAAAGAGATAGGTTCTGAAAGAAATCGTGCGGTATTAATAATTTAATTTATTTAGGCCTATGGCTTGGCTTATGCCGCATATATTTTTGTTTAATTACGGAAGCGGGCACTCTCTGTGTAGTGTGTACATTGGCAACACAGACCTGCTTTATATTTGCTAAACTTTAGCCTAAGAGAGTGAGTTGTCGCAAAAAAGGAAACAATTTGCGACAACCGAAAGGTTGCTGTGTTTACGCGATTTCCTCCATGATGGTCTTTTCTATTTTCGAGCATTAAGTTATCATATCGATATTAGTAATTAGAACCAGTTGGAAAAAATATATCTTATGTCATTATGTATTTATTCTGAAGATATTGGTCACTGTGAACTAAGATTGGACCACCAATGTACTTCCACACCCTCAGATTTATATTTTAAAGTAAGAAACAGTAGAGGCTTAAATTCAATTCTAATTGAAAACGTGAAGTAAGCACTTTATTATTATTTAATAATGAAAATTTAAGCATAAAAAAAACAGTACAAAATTCAAGAGAGATAATTGTCAGCAACCTAAGCGTGAGCCGCGTAGTCAAGAAACAGCAGAACATGTCATCATTCTTGAACTTGTTCTGAAAGATAAATTCATGGATATCTGATTATCCCTGGAGGTCCTGAATTGGCTAAGCAGCTTTCTTCATGCCTGTCAGATATTACATGTGATGTGAGCCAAGCAAGATGTGATGTGAGCCAAGCAAGATGTGCTGTACAGTCAACTGTTCAAGATATCCAATCAGGATTTTGTTATTCATCCATACATCACAGCAGTGTGACGGCTGTCCATGTCAGGCTTATGTTTCATAATTACCTGGGGCATATCATGACTTCAGCAGTAAAATATCATTATTTTCATTATTATCTGCTTCAGCTACAGATGGCTGCCGTTGAAGAAAGAACCATGTTTTATAGACTTTCTGAAATCACAGTCACGGCAACTCCATGTCTTACCATCTGCACTGCCACCATGGATATTTATATGGCAAAGCTGTTGACAACAGCTTTGCCACTGTTGACAAGTAGCATAATAAACGTTCTGCTAGCCGAAATATGCATACTTCTGTATCAGTTATTTCTGACAACAATGACTGGTTGTACTTGTCTGCTTGCTGATGCATTCTGGCTATGAAGTTTGAATTGACAAATGATTGTCGGAGCACACGTTCTTCCAGCCATTTATAAGTTTACATTCAAACTAGACAACCAGAGGTTGCCTAGGTTACATTCAAACTGCACATCAGAAATTTGAATTTAGGCACCTAAACTGAACAATTACTTTTTTGTGACTTAAAATTAGCTTAATAAAACTTATGTATTTCAGGTCTAATTATTTTTAGTTTGTAATTATTTTAGGCAATACTCATTGATTAGAATTCAATTCTACTTTAGTAAGATTGTGTTGTCTTAGAAATATTTAGAGAATTTGGCATGTTCAAATTTTAAGAGTTTGGCTACTCAAAGTAGGTTAGCTAAGGCTACTTAGAGTAAGAGTGCTAAGTTAACTATGAAGGTCTAGCTTAGAGCAGCTTAGACTTAGTGTATCTAGAGAGACCATCCATAAATGACGGCACACTATTTTGGCTGATTTTGAACCCCATCAGACCCATTATCATAAATTTGTCAAACAATCAGAATTGAGAAAATGCCGCCCCCCCCCCCCCATCCCTTTTCCCCTTTGTTTTTCTCTGTTGCGTGATGTAATTTATGGATGGTCAAAAGACATCTTAGTCATTCGAAGTGTAAAGAAATAACTAAACTTAACAAGTAAGTCTGGTTTAAGTCAGTAAGTAATAAGTTAAATAAAAGTAGACTAAGTAGGGCTAATATATTAAAAAATAGATAGTAACATTATAACTAGAGGCCATCCATAAGAGACCTCTGGCATTTAGTGGCCATCAATAAATTTATCACTTGTCTGAGGGTGGGGTTTAGGAATTTGTATGATAAAAGTGTCTAAGTTGTGCTAAAAATTTGCAGGGAGGGGTTTTAAAAAATTGGCAGTAGTCAAAAGTAACTAGTAAAAGTAAGTTAGTAGGCTATAATGAGTAGTTCTAGTTTAGTACTTATCAGCAAAATTTATATAGTTGTAATGAGCAAGTAAGCATAGTTTTATTAAGTAATTAGATGAGTAGTCTATTAAAAAAAATAATTTTTGTAACAGTATGAATACATGAAATTTAAGATTAGTCTGATAGGTGGGTTACTTTATGCCATCCCAGTGTGGCATGCATTACGATCTTGGATAGCAAATTACCATCTAGTTCATGAAATTATTATAAACTTTGTCTAGAAGAGCTGTTCAACGCAGTTTAACCCCCACAGAAAATTATGTATACAATTCTAGTGCCTTATAATGTGAGTCTTTGTGATTGCCCTACTACATAAATTGACACTTCTAACAATAAAATAGTGGTAAAACCAATAACTATTACACATATTAATTACCAAAAAGAATGAAAAATCAATTGAAGAGCTCTACAGCTGCAATCCTGATTTGGCCAACTTAACATGTGCCGTGTGAATTTGAGAAGTGTGGCTGGCATTGTTCTTGTGATCCTGTTGTTTTAGCTGATGTAGTATGAAATCATTTTTAATAAAATAAATAAAATTGAAATCATTTAACCCATTTCTTTTCAATCATTAAGATAACACAGCCAGTAGCATTTTAAAACTACTAATACCGGTATAGAGAAATTAGAAACAAAACAAAAATCCTCTTTGCTTTCATTATATATCAAATGTTTAAAAATATTTTTGTTCATTGATAAACTAAATCTCAGAAAAACACTAAATAGAAAAGTTAGTAGGTTTGAGCCTAAAATATTTTAATTTATGCTCTTTTCTAATGTTCTTTTACTTACATATTTTATCTATTTTTTTTAGATTTTAAGTCACCCTAATGAGAGTACTGGAAGTTGATCCATCAATTTCTTACACAATGGGAAAAAACAGGAAGCATAGAATACGTAAATCTAAAGAAAATGAAGCTGATGAATCCAGTGAAGACAGTCTGCAAAATGGTATGGCGGACATTATTGTGCTTCATTTGCTTTTTAAGAGTTGTGTGTTAATTATAATTTATTCATTGCAACTTCACTAGAGTATTTACTTAATAAAATAATGATTGCATGATTAGGCTGGGGTATTTATTTTTGGTTTTACTACCTTAAGCAAGCTCTCATGTAAACTCTTCTTTGCTTTGTCAAAATAAAAAAAAAAGGAGAATAAGTTGTTAAAGATTTCTTGAATTCAATTTCAAATAAAAACTTACGTTGAAATGCTGGAGGATTGTTTTCTCTTCTTATTTGGGGTTTCCAATTGTAGTAATAAATCAAAAAAAGAAAATGTTTTATTGTTGAATCTTTTTTTTAAAGTTAGTTTTCAGCGTTTCTTATTGTATTATTTCAAATAATGTCAATGAAACATTTTCTTTGAAGGAGGCTGTCCACATGTAACTAAGGCTGTTAACCTTGCTGCAATGAGGAAAGTTATTTTAAAGCCAACTGTTTCTTTAGGAGAATGTTCTGTAAGTTATATACATAGTGAACTATACATTTTTGTCAGTGCCTGCATAATGAAGTTATTATTTTTATTTGATGATTTATATTCAAAGCTTGAAGGACATACCATTGCATTTTGAAGAAAAAAAATGTGCTAGATTTTATGTCATAATAAATTAATTATTTTTACGTAAACAAAAATGCTTGATCACTGACATTATTTGATTACATTTTTTACATTTTATTACAAAATCAGAGTTGCAGCAAAGAGGCTCCTAATTCATCTTCAAGGGATCTATTTGGAAGTGTCATAGAAGGTCCGGTGCCAGCTGCAGAAAGTGATGACACTGAAGGTGGGGAGACAACTATTTGTGTCTGCTTACAATGTGGCCATCAAGTGAGTATTTTGTAGAGAGCAAATGGTTTATTTTGGTCTTGAGGTTTTATAAATGAAATTAAAACTGGAATTCTACTATTCATTTTTTAAAAATTACATTTCTTTTTGTGGTATCTTGCTTAAAATGATGAAAATTGCAATATAAGTGATATAGATTATGAAAAAAAAAATTAATAGATTTTGAAAAGCTATTTGATAAGAGATATGTAGCTACAAATGTTTGTATCAATACAAAGTAAGATAAAGCTATTACTGTTTGTATTATGCCATAACCAACTGTAATTCCAGAAATTGGACTTATATGCAATCTGTATCTCATAAAGTGGGATTACTGTTATCAGGAAATCCTGAGGCTAGCACATGAAGTGCCTACTAGTTTGATCTCACTTTCTTATACAAAATGTTATGATTTGATTTGGGTAGTATTATGTGACTTTCCATATTGAAATTATGTCCCAAGAATGGCATTATCATCAATTTTTTTGCTGAAAGTTTGCATTGTATATTGAAAAATTTGCTTAAAACTTCAGTCGATGAGAACAAACAAATTGAAAAAAGAATTATCTCTTTGCAGGGGTGTGACAGGAATTCTCTCAACAAACACGCCATCAAACACTACAAGATCCCTCACTCATCTATACATTGTTTAACTGTTAATCTCACCACCTGGGCAACCTGGTGAGTATTGGAAATGTTTTAGGCTATAATTGAATCACTTTGCTGTTTTAATTTTTTTTATTAAAGTGATACAATATAACTTGAAGCAGTTAAAAACAAAATTTATTATGTTTTTTCCTGTTATGACAATATGAGAATCATGAAGCCTCTTGAAAAAGTGTTGATCAGATATTATTTTATTGTCTTTGTTTTAATTTAACCAAATGCCAATGTCCTGCCCCTTAAAAACTTGCAGTAAAAATAATGCTTTTATGTGCTTGTTTCCATTGCATTTATTTCAAAAGAACTTTTATAAATCATGTTTACCTTCATGTCAGGTGTTATATATGTGATGATCAAATCCCTGTCAATGGCAGAATCCAGCCATGTATAGACTTTCTCCAGAAACAATTTGGTGTGGCAAAAACAGACTTTGCGCAACTACCAGGTATCTTAAAAAACAGACCTGTTTACCCCCAAACTCTTAAAGTCGTACAATATCATCACAAAATTGTTCAATATATATTATCTTAATAGTAAAAAATAAACATACAGTATATATAATGTATACACCTCAAAATCGTTCATTGTATGCCAAATCGTAAGAGTAAACAGGTCTGAAAAATTCTTTTGAAATTTCAGGTTATTTAGTCTGTTACTAGTTACGTTATTTAAAATCTTGGAATAGTTGAGGAAAAAAATGAAAGGTTTATTTAAAAAAAAAAAAAAATAGAAAGAAGTAAAAGGTTTAATTTTTTTTAATGTTCTTGTTTGTGAATTTTCTCAATTATATTCACTGACTAGATCTGATTCATTCTTTTTAAACTGGCATATTTAAAAAAAAAAATATATGAAATTCTTCATAACTTAGTAATGATTGACTCATACCACAGGCCGTCCATTAGAAAGTCCAGATACTGAAGCTTCACCATCATCAGTCAACAGTCCTACTTGTAAATCAGCTGCACCCATTTCCTGTATTAAAGTTAAGGTGAGTAAGCTAAAGTTATGGTAGACTATATGTCACAATAAAATGATGATTACATTCCATTTGGTATAACTTTGAATCTTCCTAATGAACATAGATAAGTTGTGAATAAATTAAATTTATTTTGAAACAGTCTTTGCTGTAAAATAAAATGGCTGCCTAGGGTGTTGTGGCAGTTGTCCAGTTTTGTTATTATTTTTTGGAGTCTCAGTATTGAAATGTAATTGGTCTATTCAGCATTCACGACTGATGTTAAATTATTAAAAGATAATAATTGATGGACTGCACTCCTAAGCTTTGGTGGAGACCATATCTATTAATATTGTTTACTTTTTGTTCTATTCTATTCTATTCTCAAGGGTTTGAACAATCTTGGCAATACATGCTTCTTCAATGCAGTAATGCAGGTGAATACAGTTTGATTTTGAAGTTTGTTTTACACTTAATATTATTTGTAAACATCTGATAACTGTTATTGTTAATAACCGTTACATTTACTTTCAAACCGTTCACTTAGCTAGCACTAATGTTTCAGCCTGACCTACTGGTTAATTTTGACAGTAAATGAGTGACCAGTAAATTAAATAATATTAATTATAATTAACCAATGATAATTTTGTCTTTTATGCATTTTCTATAAGAAAGTTGACATCTAAATTGTGTTGTGACATCTTATTCTGGTTGGATGCCACATATACTTTTTACAATTAGATGGCTAATATGGTTTAGTCTATTTCCTTACATCAATGTTTGCATTCCACAGAGCATATGTCAGACTAGAGGGCTAGAGTCACTGTTACTTGACCGCACTAAACCTGGAAGGTTGTGCAATATCCCAGGCCCAGAGCTTGGCTTTGAATCCGACAGCTGTTCCAGTGATGAAGATGAGCAGAACGAAGAGGATCTGGCAGTTAAGATTAAACCACTGGTAAAATTTCATTTCTATGGGAACCACTAGTACAATTACATTTTTATGAGAACCACTAGCACAATTACATTTTTATGAGAACTAATAGTACAATTATATTTTTGTAGGAACTGATTTACCTATTAAGTAATAAGCTACAGCTCTCTTAAGAAACAGTTGTACAACATTTCAAATGTGACATCCCATTTGAAAATTAACTCTTTTTTTAAAAATGCTTTTAATAAGTGCCTGCTTTTGCTTTTTAAAAAAAATTTTAATAACTTAACAGATCTTGTAAGATATTAATTTAAGTATGAAATTTAATGCATAAACTTCATTTTCACACAAGATTTCTGTTCAGAGCATGACTCATAGTTACAATAATGTTTGCTGGAATCCAATTTCTGTCCTCAGTGTCCTTTTATAATCATAATGTACATGAATTAAAGTCCTGTTATCTATTTCTAATATATCAGCCCAACATACAGACATCATTTGGCGATCCTGGTGCTATTACACTTGCTCTGCTAAACTTGGTTCAAGAAATGAAAGGGAGCACCACCAAGAATGGAACAGTTAACCCTACAGCTCTATTCACACAAGTTTGTAAAAAGTGAGCATACAACGAAAACTACATTGAAAATTATTCAATGAGCATGAACTGTTTGAAATGTTCTGCTCTCACCACCTTTTGGTTGTCACATTCCTGTTAAAGCTTGAGTGCAAGAATTGGTGCATTATCAGAGAACTTACATCGATGCAGCTCACATCATGCATATAATGGCTAGTCCTAATCCAAAACTGCTCTTGGCACTTTTACAGATGTTTTCATTTGTAGATATGAAGGTTTTCAATTAGGTTGTCCACTCATCCAGTCATCCTGTATGCCATTCAGTTTTGGATGCCATTATTGTTATCTTTTGTGGAAAAAAATGGAAATGTATTATATTTTCAATGCTTTGACTGCAGCACATAAAAATTAAGGCCTTTAAAAAAAATTAATTTGATTTTCTTTCAGAGCCCCACGCTTTAAGGGATTTCAACAACAGGACAGTCATGAATTGTTAAGATATCTTGTAGACTGTATCAGAACTGAAGAAATCAAGGTAAGTCATCTGTACAATTATTTTAAGACTTTCTCAAAGCATGTGCTGCTGTTACATTTTATCTGCTTAGGCTTTTGCTCTTCTTTGAATTCACATAACTGAAAGTGTCTAAAAACACTCTGGTGTATCTTTTTCTGCAGAGAGGTCAGGCATCCATCTTGAAGTTTTTTAAACTGCCTGAAAGTATTAGCCCTAAGAAAGTTGATGAGGAAACAAAAGTTAAAGTAAAAGGTCAGTTTGGTTTTTAAAAAAAAAATTGTTCTCATGGAAGCTTCTTAAACCTATACCAAGTAATTCAACTACAGGATACACACCTTTACAATAATTCTTTCTGGATAACAAAATTGTATTTGACTGATTTCTAAAGAAATTTTAATTTGATCTTAATCCTTATGTCTTATCTAGAATATGGCAGACAAGTGAAGCACACATTTCTGGATAGTTTGTTTGGGGGCCAGTTGGTCAGCACAGTGAAGTGTGAGGAGTGTAAGACTGTAAGTATTACAGTTTGAAGTGTTGTTGACTATGAGCTTAGATGCAGTCTTTGGTTTTAAGCAAATGCAAATATCAGAACTTTTCTATAATGAGTAATAATAGAGCACTTGTTGAAACAAAAAAAAAAAGGTTTTGGTGCGGCAAGAAAGTAAACGTTCTAATAAAATGTAAAAATATCAGGTCTGGTTGATAATAATTATTATTATTATTGATGTTAAAGTTTTTTAAGAGAATCCTTTAACCATGCACAGTTATGAAATAATTTATTTTGTTGAACACACCAGGTATCACAGATTTGTGAAGCATTTTTAGACCTGTCACTGCCTGTCATGGAGGAGAAGGTAAACTGAATGATTTAAGATATTTTCATTCATAGTAAATATAATTTATTTTTTAAAATAGAAACTCACCAAATGTTGACTCCCAAGTTTAAAATAAATAAAATGGTGCTAAATTTTAATCAACTGTTATGAACATTTTCTTAATAAAATTGGAATTCACATGTATTAGTTTAAAAAAAAAATAAATAAAAGCAAAAAAAAACAAAGTCTAGAAAATTAATTGAGTTAACAAACAAGTTTGTCTCGATATAAGTATATACATTTTTTTGTTCAATGCAACAGTATAGAAACAGATATCAGACTTGTAGCTTACCGTTTTTTATGTGGGGGGGGGGGGGGGGTTATTTAGTTAAATAATACATGGGCAGATTTTAATGTATGATGGGGCTATGGCCGATCATTTGAAATACATGCATTCTTGACTAAATATTTTCATATGACATTTCTTTAGCCTCAGCGACCAAATCTGATTTTGATTGGTAAAAAAAGAGATTCAGTGATCCTGGGAGATGTGACAGAAGAGGCAGGTGCCACAGCCAATATATCCTCAATGGGCTTGGATACGTATATGGAAAATAAACCCAGCAAATATCAAGAGCGTAAAAGTAAACGACTGGCTAAAAAAGATTCAAAGGTATGTTTCATTTTAACATGCATGCATAAACAAATATTTGTCTCATGCTTACAAAATATTTGATTTAGTGTGTAATGCCTTGTCATAAATACCCATTGTATATTTGTAACAAATTAAATATGAATTTGCCTGAATTAAAACAGTCCTTCATTTAAGTGATTGATTAAAAAAAAAAAAATTAATGTAAACAACAATCTACACCTTATAAAAGTGTGTTCTGTCTGGGGAAAATGTCAGAAAACATTGCTAAATTGTAAAAGAAACATGAGGAAAATGAGATCCATTATTTTTGTAACAGTGGTTATCAATCAATTCATAAAATATACCACACTTACTACTGCAGAGGAAATCAAAATGTCCGAAGGCCAAGTCCACAGAACCAAATGACTCCGGTGGAAAGGGAGACAATGAAGATAAACAGGATATAGATGCAGGAAGTGATGAGGGAAACCCTGTTGACATGGACATCGAAAACAACAATGAAAACAAGCAGAAAGACTTGGAGAGCCCCGAATCAGAGCAGACTAGGGACCAGGGAGGAATGTCCAGGCAAGATGAGCAGACGGGCTCCGGTCACAGTTCCGTTGTCATCGACAGCTCACCAGAGGGTAGCAAAGATGGGGTGGATGCCAACGAAAATGAAGACGACACCTCAGGTTTGACATTTCTATGTTTTGTATTGTCATTTTTTCTCAGGTAATTTTAGAACACACACACACCTTTAACAAATTAATTACTCCATATTGATGATGTTAGCTTTTTAAGCCAAATTTTTTTCTATAGCTTTTTCTGAAAACATTAATTTTAATAATTGATAGCCTTTCTCTTGGGTTGTATTGAGAACCACTGTTAATGAGAGAAATAGCCATGTACAGATCACATGCTTGAGGGAAATGTTTTGAGCTTACAATAGTGTCAGGTGAATGTCAGATATTAGGTTTGGTGTTTGCCGCTGTCATATATTTATGGCTTGCAGCATGTCGAGCTTTTAGATGACTGGTTGTTACTGAAGTGCTTGAAGGATAGATGCAGCATAGTTGGGTTGACGGATACCAAGTAAAACTCCAACACCAAATAAACTTAGAAAAGTTTATTTAAACTGTATATCAGTTCGCAAAAGTAGACTACGCTTGACTATACATGAATATCGATAGTTTCCTTAGTGCACTAATTTCTGCTAAAAGGACTTCCTCTCTATTCAAACATACTACAAGGTCCATGAACATCAAGCTCTCGCCATATCTCTATTTCAGTGGTTCTTAACGTTTTTGGAGGTACCGAAACCCACCAGTTTCATATACGCATTCACTGAACCCTTCTTAATAGGAAAGATAAAATATGATTTTTTTTCCCCCGATTTATTTTGGACCTCAGCCCGCCGAACCCCTGAGACTGACCCACCGAAGCCCTGGGGTTCGATCGAACTGAACCATTGCTCTAATCGTTCTGTCTCTCGATCTCTCTACAAGTCACAGTATATATACCCACTCATTTTAAAAACACACAGCTTTCAACCAATGGACACAAACGTCTTTGAGACATGGAATTTTTTTGGCTGCACGTAATTTAAACTGCCCACTTAATCTATTTATTATGCATTGTATAAAAATCTTTCAACCTATGGACACATGTCCTTGAGACATGCTTTTATTCTATTTAATTACAGCAGCTCAATTGTCCTATTTAAAATAAAACATTCACCCGTGGTTCCATGACCTTGACAGTGATCGATGAGGGGAAAATAGAAAGCTAGGGTTCAAAAAAATGTTTGAACTACAGGAAAAAAGGTTTGATAGTGAGGAGGCTTATGGGTAAGAATCTTTTATTAGGATTATATTAGTGTAGGGAGGCGTCCTTTTGAAGTTCAGACCAACTAGAGAACATGTCTGTGGCCATTTTTCTGATCAGCATGTTGTGTTTTTTTTTTTAAACAATTTTATATTGTATAAGATGATTCTTATACCTGTGTTATCAGTTTTACTTCCATTACCATGATTAGATGCTGATGTAGAGGATAACATAGAGAGCGACATTTTGAAGCTGGAGTGCACAGCTACAGCTGAAATATCCTCGCGCCCCCATGCCGATAAGCATGATGGCCTGCATGACGTAAGCCTCGAGACAAAGGGAGAAAATGAAACATGTTCTGTCTCTGCCGAAAGTGTTTATGTGTCCAAATCTTACGACGCAGATGTCAACACTAATCAGCAGGAACTGATTGAACAGACGCAAAGGAACCAGACAGCTGTCCAGATGACTGATAGGACTCAGAAAACTGGACACGGCACACTGACTTCTGTAACTTTGTGTGATCATAGTCAAGCTAATGATAAACCTGGGTCGGCCGAGGTCAGGCTAAATGGACAGGGAGCCACCAGAAATGGCTTTGTTGAGCAGGCTCTGATCTCGTGTAAACTGAGAGAAACAGAATCTGTCGCAAATGAAATAAATGAGACTCCAGTGGTTAACTTAGCCAAAGACAGGGGAACAGGTCTTCTTATAGATGAGCAGTGTTCTAATTTGGAGAATACTAATATACCAGCAATAAATGGAATAGATGGCTCCTGTATATCCTGTGAAGTGAGTGTCAAGAACTCTCAGGTGATTGAACTTACCAATGGTGTTGGCAGACTGACCATCAGTGACAGTGATGGGGAGGAGGAGGGTCTGAATAAACAGAACCTGGATACACAACACAAGAAAGGTCAGTGTGACAACAACAACAAACATAAAACAAATGCTCACGCTCATGAGGATGCCCAGGTCAGTGCCACATTCAGTTTCACCCTGCCCGCCAATAACGGCGCTGGGCACGGAGAGAAGTCCAACAGATCACATTCCACCAGTCAGTCAGAAGTCACCGCCAACGTCGATATGGGGGATGTGGACATTCAGATCAGATCTGAAGAGAAACATCAAGCTCACATGAACGTTTTAAAGACCCAACAGGAGTACTTGAAGGATGCCAGAAATTACTCGATGAACACCTTAGCCCCTAGGTAATGTATGGCTTAAATTACACTGATAAAGCTTCTCTTTAATAATAATCAGTTGTTCTCAGATTTTTTTTTTACAACCAAGCTGCATTTTCTACAAAATAGCCTGCTTAATCATGAAATAGATTTATATGAGCTTATATTGTTGTTATGTAAACAGATAATTTGAGCAAGCTGTTACACATGCACATTATTCTAACAGATACCATCCATCACCAAAAGAATGTTCTATACTGTCATGCCTGAACCAGTTCACTGCTGCTGAACTATTGACTGGCTCCAACAAGTTTGGATGTAAGGAATGTTCTAGAAGGAAGAGGAGAAATTCTCAAACATGTCCTGCAAAAAGTGAGTCTCTCATAAACCAACTAGAAATCATTTGGTCAACATAATTATTGACAAAACAGTTTGTCATAAAATAAAGCCTTTATTCTCAGAAATGTTTAGAAGAAAGACTGAAGAAAAATTGCCTACAATATAAGTATATTTAATTAACTTAAGTTAAAATATCTTTAAAAGTTGGATTATAATTTTTTTTTAAAGAATGTTTTCATCTTTTCATCCCAGCTGATAAAAAGTTGAAGGACACAGTCTACTCAAATGCCAACAAACAGTATCTGATCTTTCGCCCACCAGCCGTCTTGACCCTTCATCTTAAAAGATTTGAACAAGTTAGTATTAAAATAAAGCATTGTGTACAAAACTTGCCATCCGGCCCCATCCTTTTAAAAATGAGGGGAAAAAAAGCAATATAAATGTATTTGCTGTCCTAGTAATTGTGTGTGGCTGCGACGCGTTGCTAATTTATAAGGGTTTCTGAAAGTCAGTCCCATTTCAAACAAAAGCTCCTAGGCCAACACATTGATGTTCATTTGAATATCCTCAGACTGGAATTACCTCAAGAAAAGTCAATAGACATGTTGACTTCCCATGTGTGCTGGATTTGGCACCTTATTGCAGTTCTTTATGTTTGGTAAGATTTTCCCATATTGTATTTTTCATTATCATTTTTTAGAGTTGTGAATCCTTTATCTTGGGGCTTATGTCAGCTCAAAGCTTTTATGTTAGATGACCTGTAACAGCGTCATAAATGATTCAATTTGCAACTTATTATATCACTGCATAATACAAATGTAATTATAGTTGAACCAACTTATCTTGACTTGCCAACCCTATTAAGTAGATGTTTTTGAAGTGGAACTGCCAAATTCTCTCTTTGTCTTAGCATTTTTTCATGCGTTATGTCGATTCTTTTATGTCGCCGAACCCTAATACCTGGAGCACAAAATGGGTACCAAATTTGCCACTTAACGTTGGTTATCTTGACCCCCATGACCAATCGCTGGCTTTTGAACTCTGCAAGAGGAAATAACAAACAACAAATAAACAAGTTTTGCATAATGAAAATTAATTATTTATTTCTCAATATACCGGAGTGAAAGAATCCCTATATTGGGTGTTATTTGGAATTGCCCAATCCTAATGTATTTGGTATGGTTGTAAAGCTTGTTATTTCCAGTTCAAGATAAATATAGCTTATTGTCATAAAGAAAATTACGAAAGCAACCCAACCTTTCAATCGCAGGTAATTTCAAGAAAAACTTGGTATTTTCCTGACCTACTTCTTGTATCACATGATCTAGCCCTGACCCTTTGAATAAAATAAGCATTTTGATTGGTTCCTGTGTTGGAATTCTGTTTTTAATAACTCCTTCTGATCGCTTCATAAAACAAATCATGGCAACGCTGTTGTGTTAAAAAAAACTCCAAAACATGTGCATATTCATTCTCATTTATTAACGCACATCATGTACTTAAATTTCAAGCTCATATTGCCATCATATTGGTTTTCGTTTATCTCGAACATTGGTTAACTCAACGCTTTTTGGCAAACCCCTATGCCGGCGACATAATAGGGTTCAACCTATTGTTTTTTTCAATTTCCTGGCCACAATGAAGATATTATACTGCAAGCTGCATTCATATATAGACCCTTGGGAAAAAACTTCAGAATTTATATAAACAATACTTGACAGAAATATGAATTTTTATAGTAAATTTGTATTAATTTTTAAATAGATTTTCCACTGATTTTCTGTTTGGTACAGGGAGTTAAGGAAGGGCAGAGCAAAGTTTTGTATTCACTTTATGGAGTGGTGGAGCACAGTGGAAGACTAAGTGGAGGCCACTACACTGCATACATCAAGGTGCGACCAGGTTTGGGGCCACCAACACAGTTTTTACACACGAATCCACCAGGACCTTTGGACTTGCTCAATGTGTAAGTCACTGAAGAATCATCTTGTATTATAAAGTGTATTCTTTTGATTTATATGAATTCATAATAAGAAAATTAATAATCTTAAATTCTGAAAACAGTTTTAAGTAATGTCCTACATTTGTTTTTTTATTTTTTTTTTATTTTTAAAGCTACCTGACCCGAGTAATAAAATCTAAAGAGAGTGGCCACTCCGAGAAGATGGAAGGTGGAGGAGAAGTGGACAGAGACATTGAAGCTATGGCTGAGACACTAGCGCCACCTGGCCGTTGGTTTCATATTAGTGACAGTCGGGTGAACGAGGTGGCTGAAGCCGAGGTACTCCGGGCTCAGGCTTACTTGCTATTTTACGAGAGGATATTTTAGACGCCTCATTATACCGTGAATAGATTGAGCTGGATTATACCACAGTCAGTGCTGCAGGATAAAGACACCAGTGTGTGTGGCAAGGGAAGTGACAAGAAATTTATTTTGCCGAAGGCACTTTGGGTGAAATGATGTAGTGTGGTCTTGAGGTTGAGCTTGCACAGAGTTGCTGTGGGTTAAAGGTAAAAGGTCATCTAGTCAAAGATGTGAAACTTAAATCACTTAGATTGAAAACATTGACTTTCTAAACTGTTGTCTAAAGAAGACTTACGAGGGTTTAATTCATTTGTATTTAATACTATTATTATTTTATTTTTTTTTCACTTCTGTTGATTTTTGGGCAATGGTTAAAATGTTGTACTTGTAGTCATTGTTGAAAACCACTGATGTAATGAGGTAACACAGAGCTGTTTATTGTAAATATTGAATGTTTGAATTTTTTTTAAATTCCAGACACTAGAGTTAATTTAGTTGCTTTATTTCTCTCACTCATACATGTACGCACAACTTTCAGAGACAAGAAATAATTGTTAATAATTGGTATTTATACAGATTAGATTTATTCCCTTGGGAGAAGAAAAAAAAATTGTATCAAAAGTTCATTTAAGTATGTAATATATCTAGAAATTACCTTGTTTTAGAAATGAAATGATTCATTACTTCCTTTTATTGAAAAGTAGCTTGAGATATTCAACCCCTTAAGTTACCAAACATCAGAAATAGGCCCTCACTGGGAAAACCATTTTAAGGGGAACTGATAAGAAAAATGTCTTTTATTATTAAACTTATTAAAAGGCGGATTGCTGGCACAGGGACGTAGTTTTTTATATAAGGCATGGGAAGGGTCCCAAGATGCCAGGACCCCCCCCCCCCTCCCATGCAAGGCTTTGCCATAGGCCTACAATGCTGTTAGGATGGCCTACAGTGCTGTTAGGATGGCCTACAGAGCTGTTAGGACGATCTGCAGTCCTGTTAGGATGGTCATCAATGCTGTAAGGATGGCTCTGTCTAAAAATGTTTATTTATTTTCACCCTATCAAAAACTTATTAAGCGTTGCGTACCAGTGGTATAAAATTTCATTCCTTATGATTTTTTACGAATTAATCAGTTCAAAAGTGGTTACATGTTGTAAAGAATGGTAAGCTAGACACATTGTCCATTGCATCCAGACAATTCTGTACTTGTACATCACAATTAGACACTTTTGTACAGTACTTGTACATCACAACTAAACATTTGTGTACTTTCTTGTACATCACAATTATACATTTGTGTACTTGCACATCACTATACATTTGTGTACTTGCACATCACAACTAGACGTATGTACTTGTATATAAGCTCTTAAAACTCCTGATCTCTTAATTAAATGCTCATTCTTATCGATGAATACATTTAAATGCACCTTCATTTTTGCAATTCTTACGAATACATATTGCATGCATGCCAAGATGTATATATCTGCTACACAACTAAGAGTTGCATGTCTTTCTGTAACTGCACTAGCCTTCTCTCACCAGCAATCGGTGTCAGACCCAACTTATAAAATCACTGCAGTGGTAGAAAAAACTATTTGTAAAACCTGTAAAGAATGTTAGTCTTAAAAATCATAATATTTATGATGCACTCTCTATCTTTTCTTAATCTGAAAGTAAATATGGGTCTAGTACTAGGAAGCTGTCTTTTTTTAGCCTTTGATTTTAAACTGTCAAACCCTTTCAAACATTTACATCAGCTTTTTTCAAGCTATAGATGAGGTTATTAGTAAATAGATTTTAAATAATTTTCATTAATTCTATGTGTAATTTTTAAGTTTATAGATGTTGAATGCTTGTATCTCACGGTTTTGCTTCCCGAGCACAGGGTTAACTATATTTCTGTAGTTTGTGTTTTGTTCAATATCCATGAGAAGGAATGGAGATTTTTGAATTATTTTGAAATTAATTTTTAATTTAATTTTTTTCCCATTGTGTGAGAAATCTGAATATCCCAAAAACTTCTTCTGCATGAGTTTTTAATGGCATTACTCTGTGCACTGCAGCATCCATACTAAGGAAGTGTTTGTTCTTGGACTTGGATAAGGATTTAAAGAACAGATCCATCTTAAGGGAGTGCTTGCAGAAGAATGCCTTTAGAAATCTGTGTAATGCAGTATTGTTCTAAAAAATAATATAATACTGACCAAATTTATTTACTTTCCATTATTATTATTGATTAAAAGACATTACAAAAGTTACATATATGTATTTTTTGTCCCGTGGACAGATAAAATGTGTATTGCAGGAAGGAATTCCAATAATAAAAATTAAAGTTAGAGGCTCAGATTTCTAATGATAATTTTTTTTTAAATTAGCGGCTTTAAAAACTGGAAAAGAACATACCGGGTACTCACCTAAAGTATTTGCTGAGTGCTTGAGAAAGAATTTTTTGTTTATTTTTTGTTTGTTTAAATGCAGAGACTCTTGTGTTCAGTCAACTGCAAGAAATCCAGATCAGATTTTTGTTCCCAACGTCCCTAAGGACCTTTAGAGCAGTCATCATTTTAAAAAAGCTGACTAGAGATATCATCATTATTTCATTGCACCTGTTAGTATCTCAAGTGAATGACATCCTTCAAATGATTATTTCACAAAGTTTTTCATCAATCTTTGTAGTCTCCAGTGAAATCCTAATATCACCCTAGTACTAATGATCTGATGCAAATATAAAATTTTCTGTTTTTATTTTCCCTAATTGGTTTATTCCTTTAAAAAAATGATCAAGAATCTTGATGGAATTTTAGTAATTATTTTCCAGTAAATACAACACAATGATGAAGATAAAATAAACAGTTTTGCAAGTGAATGCAGAACGACTCCTTTTATTTGATTTTATATTTAAATCATGTTATCCTCTGTTTCTTTACATGTTCAGTGTGTTTTAATTTGATTGGAGAGCTTTATTTTTCTTACAGCAATCATGATTCCTCTTGAATCAGTTGGAAATAATTATATTTTGCTATGTCATAAATATATCTGTTGCAAAATACTTTGTCACAAATTTTAAATACATTGAAGTTGACATTCATTTAGAATTTTAAGTCATTTCCTGGCAGCCTTTTATCTTAAACACTACCCCTCCATCAAATGCCCTCCTAGTACCATCCCTTTGTTTTAAATTATCTCAGAAGTTCTCAAGACAGATCACTGCTTAAAATATTTGCTGTTCATGTAGATTTACACGCAAGCTGGACACTTTGGCTACTCATCTAAGGTTGTATATTTATATCATTTACAACTTGTGATAAGAAAGTGATATAAAGAGCAGCAGATTTTGGTTTGCTTTGTTTTTTTTTTTAAATGTGTCTTATTCTCCCTGTGACGTTTACTTTTATTCAAATCTAAATTTGGTGAATCTTGTAATTATTTTGTTTGTTATAAGATGCCTTGAAATGGACTAATTACTTTCTCTTATATTTAAATATATTTATATACATGAAGTGTGGATGAGAAGTCTTTTGCCATGGGTTTCGAGTTTAAAATTTGATTTTGAATTTTAAAATTTTTTTAATTGTAATGTTTTTATTTTGTGTGTGTGTCGAGGGTAAAAAATTATGTTTACTGTTAAAACATCATTTTTGCATAAAATCACATGAATTAATTTTGCTCTACTTGTTTACATTTGATGTACTGATAATTCTTAAATGTAGCTATGTGTGAGGCTTTATGGTGCTGGGTATGTTAGGTAGCCACACTGTCTTTCAGATGTGTTTAGACATAAATGTTTAATCTATCTAGCAACCTATAGGAATTAGACCAATCACTCCATTGGTATGCTGTAAGACCTCATGCATTCGCATTTCACTATTCACAGATTCACTCATCGGGGGTGGGGTTGGTGTGAAAAAGAAACAGCAGCTAATAAATTAGTATACCTAGAAGTGATATTAGTATACTGTACTGTAAATGTGCTGGTGTGGCAAAAAGCCACTAGGCGATACTGTGCTCTATTTTTAAGTCATCTATTTATTACTTTTTTTGTTTTGCGTCAACCATTTATTTTTTTAAGGGTAATGTCATTAATCTAACTTGTAACTTGAATTAAAGTGCTTTGAGAACATGATTTGGGTCATATTTAAGGTTTCAACTTTAGAAATAACCATTTATTTGCATTTTTAGTGACTCCTACCAAACATTGTCCTGATCTGTGACGGGTTCTGAAACCTAACATCACTAATGTTCCAGGTATTACTGTACACAGAGTATTTCATTGTCTTGATTGGTACCGATTCTTTTAAGGTTTTGTACCAAATATTTAGAGTTTAAATTTTAATCATTACTTAAATGGGAAGAAGAATCGTCTATTTATTGTTTCATACATTGTCTTTTACTTTAGCAGTTAATAATAAAGAATTTGGAATGGGATAAATTTAATCCAAATTATTGAACTTGTTGCGACGTGTTTCATTAGGATTTAATAATGCAACAAGAAATGATTTGTACGATGTGATAAACAGTGTATGGAGTGATAAAGTATCTCTAGTGTTTTTGTAAACTCAAAAAGGTTGAATACTGAATGAGATGCCTCAGCTTCATACTGTAGTTTTGTCATTGTAAACACATCAGATTTATGTTTCAATTTTAATAAACCCATGATTACCAATAAGGGTACACCACTCTTTATTCTGAGCATGATTTTTTATTTGTTGTTTTTGTCGAATTTCAAAGGTTCTAGACTTATTTTCTGCACTAACTGTAACATGCCATTTCAGGAAAACACATTGACACTGTTAATTGGATTAAAAAAAAGATTATTCTATAAAAACGATGGTATCATAAAAACAATGGTACCAGATTTATGTAAATTCAACCTGATTACATTCTCTCCCCTTATTAATTATTATCTAAAAGTTATTGGAACCAGGAAAATGTTAAACAAAGATTTGTAAAAGGTCTTTAGGTTGTAAATTTACAGGAGATTGTGAAAATAGGTGATTGCTTTGACCTATTAAAAGTCTGTTAACAGCTTTGGCATTATTAGATTGGTTCTATGCCCTCCACAAGATCGTGTACAAGCTTTTCTTTGCCTGGTTTGAAAAAGTTGATCTTTTTCATTTGGTCAGTATTCAGTATGGTACCATCATCAATCTACATTTATTTTTAACAGCAAGTTTATAGAGGCACAACTACAACACTTAAACCCAAGTGTTGTTGTTTCTAATAATAGTATTGGAGTCGACCATGACCACTTTAATCATCAGAGTTTGTACTGGTTCTGTCTGTGGGTGCGCAGATGGCTAATGAGGCCGATTCTGGCATGAAATTCTCTTGTGCAGTAGGTGCAGGGGAATGATGACCTCAGTGTCTGGGACCCTGTCCTGCCATTTAATATTGAGGATTTTTCTGAGTCTTGTATGAAAGTGGTTCAGCATTCTTGCATGGCGTTGGTAGACCGTCCACGTTTCACAGGCATAGCGAAGCATAGGGAGAACAGCCGCCTGATATACTTTCAGTTTAGTTTGAGTGTTGATACCTCTCCTGGTCCATACGTTCTTAGTCAATCTTCCATAGGTTGCACTGGCTCTAGCAATACGGAGGTTAACCTCGTCATCGATGGTTGTGCTTTGGGACAATGGGCTAACATGTACATTACACTTCAACCACAATATGCATATTGCAATAGTGGAAATGACTTACCATTAATTTTTAAGTTGTGGTTATTTTTAGCCATAGCATATTGAACATTCACTTCTGAAATCTTGCGTATTTATTACCTTCTTTCGTAAATTAAATTCTTTTCTATATTTAATGCTGTCAGCTACTGGTATAATAAATGATTGAACAGAAGGAAAATTAACAACAGTTTGATGTCCCCAAATAGGTATTTA